TATCCATTTGTAATTTGACTAAACCCGTTTTCTTTGACTTGTAGGTTGGTACTACTGCATTTCCACTTCCCCAAAAAGGTAATTCTTTCTTTCAGTGTTCCTTTCCTTTTTCTTCCACTTTCTTTGTTTGTTTATTGTTGAGTTGTTTTATGATTTTCAGTTTCTTAAAATGTAAAATCTATACAGGCAGGAGGGAAGACGGGGATGAGCAAGAGAATCAAGGAAGTCCCAAAAGGCAGAAGAGAGATGAAGTTGCTGAGGAGCTCAAGAATGAGGTATTATCATATTTGCATAGCTCAAAAAATTTCAATTTAATCTATGCATCATGGAAGCTTCAATTGAATAACATTCAAAATTTGACAACTTTACCTGAATGCATTACGTACAAATGTATGTTTATTAATGAGGACCCATTAAATACTACTTACATGTTTTCTAATGAGTTAGGAATTATTTGTCAATTAATGCCACCCATGTTTATAGACAGAAAATAAGAGAAAATTTATCGACCTAACGACCTATCATTTCTTTTCTATCTTAAGTCAGAAGCACATTGTTGCTGCCACTGTAGCACATAGCACATGCTTGACATGTTACTTAAATAACAAAGTTATCTTAGAAGATGCACAGATCATGTTATCATGTCATGACCTGTTTGCATAAGAGATGTCAATTTGTTTGTAAAAGTACTCTGGGCTTTGTCAAACTAGATTTAGTTGTTTTGAATATTTTAAGAGTTTTCATTATATTATATGAACTTCCAAATACCAATAGTAGTTGGTTCGAGTTCTACTAAACTCAATTCTCTTAAGCAAGAAGGTCTTGGGTATGAGTTTTGGGATGAGAAATCGTGGTTGGTAGGGGATACCACACTAAAGGTTACCAGCCTGGACCAAGATTAGTTATCAGCAAATATGGTGAATATTGCATACAAATGGTATAAAAACAATATCAGCTTCCATACGCTTTTTTCTCAATTTCAATGATAAGCAGGAAGGTTATGGTTTGAAATTTGAATTGATGAGAGATAGGCTAGAGATGAGAATTTGATAACTAAAAAATAGTCTAACATGATGGTGGCTACGTTTAATTTCATATCAAACTAGTAATTAAACCTGCTTATGAACATTTGGGTTTTATAACAAACAGTTCAAGTGCAAACAAACAAAACCTATTATTCATTGGAATTTTAGGATATGCAATTAGTGCTACAAAAGAAAAATAATTTGCCATTCCAATCAGCATTGAAACTGAATTATTATTCACTTAGTGAAAATTAGGAGTAGCCAGGTATAGATTTATACAAAATGCACAAATGGGCTTATGGGCCCAGTACTCACTAAAATCTTAGTTCATTTGTAATTCATCATTAGAGAATAATAGATTTAATTTTGTTTGTAAGGTACTAATTATTGAAATAGAGACCGATCAAATATAAACTACCAAGAATAGGTCATTGGTGGTGGGGATTCCTTACCTGATAACAGTTGATCTATTTGATGCTTTGTTTTGCACTATATAACTATAATGACTATAGGTAGTAGAAGAGTATGAACTTATCGTGTTGTTTTGGTAAATGTTTTATCATGTGTTAGTTTCAGGAGGATATCAATATCTACGAGGGTGATAACTCTGAAGAAAGATATGAAGAAACAGAAGAGAAAACAATGGAAGTTTTGGTATATAAACTGTTCACTCAATCAAATTTTACCCACTATATTTGTAATTTCATTTTGTTATATGTTCATTTATTTTAATTGTTTATCAATCAAATTTTCTGTTCTGAAGATGGACACCACATTAGATGCTCAAGAATGTGACTCAAAAAATGTTGAAAGTGATTCTTCTAGTGATAGTTCAGATGACAACAACCATGATGACGATAACTCTGATTTTATTGACGAGCCACATATGGCTACATATGTGAGAATCTTGGACATTGTGCATGTAATTGTTTATTTTGCAAAATTTAATACTTTAGCATCTTTCTTTTATTTGCAGCCTTTGAAAAGTTCAGAGAACAGTGAAGAAGAAATTGAGGAAAATGCCTCTAAAACTCTGCAAGTAAATGTATTATTTCATAATCCATTTCCATAGTGTTGCTAAAATTTTAAAGGTTTATGAATTATTGCAATAGTGCGAAAAATGTTAAGGATGTTGATAATGGTTAGTACTTCCTCTGTAAGTGAACAATATCAAATCAGTCATATAACATGTTATTTCCTGGATTTTGCAGCCTGAAATGCTAACTACTTTGAAAGAACGAAGTGCCGGATCAAAGACAATATATACTAAAAACTTATCATATAGTGTGGAACGTGCTGATCTGTATGTATTACTTTTATGGTAGGTGCATATCAATTTTTTTTTTTTTTTATTTTTCTAATTTTGAATTTTTCAGGGAAGATCTTTTCAAAGAGTGTGGAGAAATTGTTGATGTTCGTCTACATACAGATGATGAAGGGAGGTTTAGAGGCTTTGGTCATGTTGAGTTTGCGACAGAAGAAGCAGCGCTAAAAGTAAGCTGTNTTGCCGACACATGTCAGGTCGACAACAAGCAGAAGACGATTACGGAAGAGGCTAATAACAATTCCAAGGTCCCCAAGTTCTTCAACGCCTTCGAGTTCATCTCCTCCATGTCATCGGCCTTTGATCTCTCAAGCCTGTTCGAGACCAAGCGAAAGACGGCCGCAGTGTTCACTTCTAAGTGTTCTACAATGTCGATTATGGCCAAGATCGCCGCATTGGCCAGGGAAGCTCGTGATCACAGCGGAGGTGTTCGAGGTGGTGGCGGAGGTGGTTGTGGTAGAGTCGGATGGAGAGGGAGGGAGATGAGCTGAGAAAAATTAACTAGTGTAAAAAATGACGTGACATACCACCGTTTAGTCACCTCAGCTTATTTTTAACGCCGTTGGTTTTGGAGGACGAAAAATTATAGTTTGTTTAAGGAGAATGATTAAAATGTAGCTTAGTTTGAAATAAAGACTAAAAACAAATTCGCTTGATAGTTTATGGACTAAAAATATATTTAACCATATTATCAAATGGTCAATATTGTTGAGTGACAATAGCTACATTAATTATTTTTAAAATTGAGATCAAATTATAGCAAAGTTTGGGATAAAAATAAAATTTAATTTTTCATTAGAAAATATATTTAACCTTAAATTTAAATTATAATAATAATTAAAGTATCAAAAATTAAAATTTACTACTTAATTTTTTAAAATATTTGAATCAGAAAATTCATTTTATAAACTAATTTAAATCATTTATAAGTTCTAAAAATACTGTGTAAATAAAATATAATTTTGTATAATTATATTAATATTAACTCATAATTTTATAATAAATTTTTTTATTTGACATATTATCTTATATGCATTTATAATATGTATAATTATTGTAACACATAATTTAAATTATATTGTTTATTAGTTTTAAAATTAAATAATAATTATTTAAATATTTATTTAAGTTACAGATATTATAGAATTCCTTATAATATACAAATTTTCTTTATAATTCAGAGGCTTTTAACAAAAATATAAATTAAAAGTAAACTTTAAAATTTATATGTAATTTTATATAAATATTGTTTCTCTATCACAAAGCACAATAACAACCCTTTTAGTAAACAAAATGACAAGTAATTAATTAATTATTACCACTCATAAAACATTGACGTTATTTCAATAAAATTAATGAAAATAGTTTTTTATTGCACATTTTTGAAAAAAAAAAACAATTAAAACTACTCAAAATATAAGGATGAGAATTATAATTTTAAAACAAATACAAATACCATTTAAAGTTGTAAACTTTATATAAAAGTGTAAACATAATTTTATTCTTATTGAGTTTATTATATTGTTTGCTTGGAGATAAAGTTATAACTTATTCTATTATTGTTCTTAAAGTGATTCGTGTCTTTATTTTTTTAAAAAATATTCTTTTATTTTTATCTTATGATGTCTTTATATGTTTATATTTTATTCTTTTATCCTACCTTATTATATTTATCAAAGAAACCTTTTTTAAACTATGTTTCTATATATTATATGTAAATATAATTTTAATTTAAAGATTCTCATCATTTATTATTATTTTTTGAAACTCGTTATCTTTAATTAAGACTGATTTTTTTATTCTTTCTTTTTTTCCTCTACATGGTAAAAGTATGAGTAATCACTGTTATTTATCAATTAAGTGTCATTGTATAGAAAAGAATTCAAGATTTAAATTAAGATTCATCTTTCATTTTTTTATTGATATATTAAGATTATTCAACACTTGCGGATGGTACTGGGAAACTGCATCATCAAATCCCAAAACATTAACGGCCGATGTTCCAAATGATCGGAAAAATCAAAACCACTGCATATGTCCTTCCTTGTACTGCAAAAGTAATTAGTGAAAAGAAAAAACTAATAAAGTGCTATCCAAATTGCAATAAAAAAAGCTGAATCAGTGAGAAACAGTATAGCACACACCAACACTTTCGCAGATTGATTGCTTAGTTCCCATCTAAAGCAAAAACCCTAGTGGTTTACCTAATCCCTGAAAGTAATCCCTTTGCTCTCTTCATTGAAACCTAAATGGAGGATAAATCTAATCCCACACTCCATGTATGGATGCATGTTTTGTTGTGAATTCTTTCTCTTTTATCCATTTGTAATTTGACTAAACCCGTTTTCTTTGACTTGTAGGTTGGTACTACTGCATTTCCACTTCCCCAAAAAGGTAATTCTTTCTTTCAGTGTTCCTTTCCTTTTTCTTCCACTTTCTTTGTTTGTTTATTGTTGAGTTGTTTTATGATTTTCAGTTTCTTAAAATGTAAAATCTATACAGGCAGGAGGGAAGACGGGGATGAGCAAGAGAATCAAGGAAGTCCCAAAAGGCAGAAGAGAGATGAAGTTGCTGAGGAGCTCAAGAATGAGGTATTATCATATTTGCATAGCTCAAAAAATTTCAATTTAATCTATGCATCATGGAAGCTTCAATTGAATAACATTCAAAATTTGACAACTTTACCTGAATGCATTACGTACAAATGTATGTTTATTAATGAGGACCCATTAAATACTACTTACATGTTTTCTAATGAGTTAGGAATTATTTGTCAATTAATGCCACCCATGTTTATAGACAGAAAATAAGAGAAAATTTATCGACCTAACGACCTATCATTTCTTTTCTATCTTAAGTCAGAAGCACATTGTTGCTGCCACTGTAGCACATAGCACATGCTTGACATGTTACTTAAATAACAAAGTTATCTTAGAAGATGCACAGATCATGTTATCATGTCATGACCTGTTTGCATAAGAGATGTCAATTTGTTTGTAAAAGTACTCTGGGCTTTGTCAAACTAGATTTAGTTGTTTTGAATATTTTAAGAGTTTTCATTATATTATATGAACTTCCAAATACCAAGAGTAGTTGGTTCGAGTTCTACTAAACTCAATTCTCTTAAGCAAGAAGGTCTTGGGTATGAGTTTTGGGATGAGAAATCGTGGTTGGTAGGGGATACCACACTAAAGGTTACCAGCCTGGACCAAGATTAGTTATCAGCAAATATGGTGAATATTGCATACAAATGGTATAAAAACAATATCAGCTTCCATACGCTTTTTTCTCAATTTCAATGATAAGCAGGAAGGTTATGGTTTGAAATTTGAATTGATGAGAGATAGGCTAGAGATGAGAATTTGATAACTAAAAAATAGTCTAACATGATGGTGGCTACGTTTAATTTCATATCAAACTAGTAATTAAACCTGCTTATGAACATTTGGGTTTTATAACAAACAGTTCAAGTGCAAACAAACAAAACCTATTATTCATTGGAATTTTAGGATATGCAATTAGTGCTACAAAAGAAAAAAAATTTGCCATTCCAATCAGCATTGAAACTGAATTATTATTCACTTAGTGAAAATTAGGAGTAGCCAGGTATAGATTTATACAAAATGCACAAATGGGCTTATGGGCCCAGTACTCACTAAAATCTTAGTTCATTTGTAATTCATCATTAGAGAATAATAGATTTAATTTTGTTTGTAAGGTACTAATTATTGAAATAGAGACCGATCAAATATAAACTACCAAGAATAGGTCATTGGTGGTGGGGATTCCTTACCTGATAACAGTTGATCTATTTGATGCTTTGTTTTGCACTATATAACTATAATGACTATAGGTAGTAGAAGAGTATGAACTGATCGTGTTGATTTGGTAAATGTTTTATCATGTGTTAGTTTCAGGAGGATATCAATATCTACGAGGGTGATAACTCTGAAGAAAGATATGAAGAAACAGAAGAGAAAACAATGGAAGTTTTGGTATATAAACTGTTCACTCAATCAAATTTTACCCACTATATTTGTAATTTCATTTTGTTATATGTTCATTTATTTTAATTGTTTATCAATCAAATTTTCTGTTCTGAAGATGGACACCACATTAGATGCTCAAGAATGTGACTCAAAAAATGTTGAAAGTGATTCTTCTAGTGATAGTTCAGATGACAACAACCATGATGACGATAACTCTGATTTTATTGACGAGCCACATATGGCTACATATGTGAGAATCTTGGACATTGTGCATGTAATTGTTTATTTTGCAAAATTTAATACTTTAGCATCTTTCTTTTATTTGCAGCCTTTGAAAAGTTCAGAGAACAGTGAAGAAGAAATTGAGGAAAATGCCTCTAAAACTCTGCAAGTAAATGTATTATTTCATAATCCATTTCCATAGTGTTGCTAAAATTTTAAAGGTTTATGAATTATTGCAATAGTGCGAAAAATGTTAAGGATGTTGATAATGGTTAGTACTTCCTCTGTAAGTGAACAATATCAAATCAGTCATATAACATGTTATTTCCTGGATTTTGCAGCCTGAAATGCTAACTACTTTGAAAGAACGAAGTGCCGGATCAAAGACAATATATACTAAAAACTTATCATATAGTGTGGAACGTGCTGATCTGTATGTATTACTTTTATGGTAGGTGCATATCAATTTTTTTTTTTTTTTATTTTTCTAATTTTGAATTTTTCAGGGAAGATCTTTTCAAAGAGTGTGGAGAAATTGTTGATGTTCGTCTACATACAGATGATGAAGGGAGGTTTAGAGGCTTTGGTCATGTTGAGTTTGCGACAGAAGAAGCAGCGCTAAAAGTAAGCTGTCACCTTGTGTGGTGTGTGCAAATAGTTTTATAACGGCTGGAAGGTTTTGGCAGATGGTTGCACCTTTGAAAGTGGCAGTTACTTTTACTTTTCAGGGATAAAAAGATAGCAATTTGATTCAGTGAAATATTTGTCTCATTCCTAGTGTTTTCAATGAATTTGAATCGTGAAGCAAAATGCCACGGTATACTTAGTTTTAGGAGACATGGTTTCAAATTGGGGTTGTCTTCAAGATGTATTGGGTTAATCTGTGAATACAGTGATAGATTGCCCTTGTCATTTAAATCTCACGATGGTTTGGCATCATAATTGTGCTATATTTGGTTAATATGTGAATAGAATTGTATTGGGGATGGTGGGTTCATGACTATGCACTAGAAAGAAGTTCCTGCCATCTGTTTTTAAGAATGTATAGCACCTCTAATTTTAAATGTTTGATTGAGGTCAGATATCGACGTGTGTGTAACTTAAAGCTTGCAGTGCAGGTCTCTTATTACTTCTATTAGATACCTTTCAGTACACTTCGGACAGAACCTTCCTCTCTTATATATATATATCACTACCATTACTAAGTTTCAGTTAGAAATTGATAGGTTCCTGAATTGGGAACCTAGTCAAAGACTCTCTCACTCACCAAGAAGACACAAGAAAGAGAGAAACTGAATATTATTTCCAGTAAGAGTATCTGTATAGAAAGAATTCAGAGGCTTAACCCTCTTCACAGGTAATAACCTATCTACAATCAACTCACAAAGCAGGTGCTGTTTTCAACTAACTATCCTCTATTTATAACTATTCTCTCCCGCCCCCTCTTAACTGTTACAAACAGTTAAGTAATAACAGCTAGTTAGTTTTCTTTCTCCTTTCATATACTATCCATTTCTGCTTATGCATATCAATACCCTTCGCCTAAAGCTCAACCTTGTCCCCAAGGTTGAAATCGAGGTACTGCTCCGTGATGGTTACTTCATCATCCCATGTTGCCCCATCTGGACCCCCTTCCTACCACTCTATCAACAACTGTGGCACTGTCTCCCCACCTTGCTGTGTCTGCCTTCTTCCCAGAACGCCCACTGGCCAGAATGACGGTCCTTCCGCCTGCAAGTCTAGCGGCAACTCCTTCTCCACTCTTCGTTCGCCTACAACCTTCTTCAACTGCGACACGTGGAAAACTGGGTGGATCCGCGCTGCCTCTGGTAACTGCAGCTTGTATGCTACCTCCCCTACCCGCTGGATGATCTGAAATGGCCCGAAATATCTAGCCGCCAACTTTGGGTGGAGCCTGGTTGGCATTGAAGTCTGCCTATGGGGCCTTATCCTCAGATAAACCCAATCTCCAACCTCCATATTCGTTGGTTTCCTTTTTTTTGTTTGGTTGTCTCACCATCGCCTCTTGTGCTTTCTCCAAATGTACCCGCAACTGTCTCAAAGCTTCACCTCGGGTCTGAAGCTCTTGACTCACTGCCTCAACTAACGTTTCTCCTGGAATGAATCTGTGTAGTGAGGGGGGTGGTCTCCCATAAACTGTTTCGAACTGGGTGCACCTTATAGCTCCTTGGTAGCTGGTATTGTACCAATACTCAGCCCAAGGCAACACCGTCATCCATCCTCGTGGCTGTTCCGAACAAAAACACCGGAGATACCCTTCCAGCACCCGATTCAAGATCTCCGTTTGCCCATCCGTTTCGGGATGGTAAGCGGTACTCATCTTCAACTTCGTCCCCTGACCCTTAAACAATTCCCTCCAGAAAATACTTAGGAACAATGGGTCCCAATCACTCACAATGGATTGAGGAATCCCATGCAACCTAATGACTTCTTTGATGAAAACATCCGCGACTATCCTGGCTGAGTAGGGGTGTTTAAGTGGTAAGAAATGGGCGTATTTGCTCAGTCGGTCCACCACCACCAATATAGCATCGTGCCCCTGTGATTTAGGTAGCCGCACGATGAAATTCATGCTCAATTCCTCCCACACTGCATTCGGAATTGGCAGAGGCTGCAACAACCCTTGAGGTGAGGAGGATAAATATTTATGCTGCTGGCATACAACGCATCTGGCTACGAATTCCGTCACGTCTTTCTTCATTCTAGTCCAGTACACCGATTGGGCTATGCGTCTGTAGGTTCGGTACACCCCTGAGTGGCCCCCTGTCTGCGTGACATGGAATTCCGCTATTAGCTTGGGAATCCATGTAGACTGTGCCGACAGCACCAGCCTGCCTTTTTGGTGGAGTCTCTCGTGTTCCAGGGTGTAAGTTGGGTGAGTATTAGGATCCCTTCTAATCTCTTCTATCACTTTTTGTAACACCTCATCCGCCTCCACTTCCCGTACTATCTCTCCGAAATCCTGCCAGAAAGGTCTGGCCACCACACACAGTTCTTTCTCCTCTTCATTTTCCCCCTCACTCTTCCTTGACATAGCATCTGCCGCCTTATTTGTAGCCCCAACTTTGTATACTATCTCGAAATCGTAGCCCATCAGCTTGGCAATCCAGTTTTGCTGGTTTTGGGTTGTGATGCGCTGTTCTAGCAAGTATCAGAGACTCTTCTGATCGGTGTGGACTACAAAACTCTGCCCTAAGAGGTAAGGCCTCCAATGCTGTATGGCCATCACCAGGGCCATCAATTCTTTTTCGTTAATAGACTTACTTAACGTCCCCTCAGATAAGGCCTTACTATAAAAGGCTATGGGTTTCCTGCCCTGCATCAGAACTGCCCCCACCCTTCGGCCAGAGGCGTCGCATTCGATGTGGAAGGGCTGCTGGAAATCTGGCAGTGACAGCACTGAGGCTGTGGTCATTGCTCTCTTCAAAGTTTGCCAAGCCTCCTCCGCCTTCTCATTCCAAAAGAACCCACCTTTCTTCAGCAGCTCGGTCAACGGTTGGGCGATCTTATCGTAGTCTTTCATGAATCTTCACGGTTTGGCCTCTCCCATTCTAGGACGGCTGCCACCTTCTAACCATCCATCTCCACCCCTCTGTGGGAAATAACATGTCCCAAATATTTTATTTGAGTCTGCCCAAACTTGCAATTTCTCTTGTTTGCCACCCAATGATCTCGTTCCAGTGTTGAAAGAACGNTGAATAGACTTACTTAACGTCCCCTCAGATAAGGCCTTACTATAAAAGGCTATGGGTTTCCTGCCCTGCATCAGAACTGCCCCCACCCTTCGGCCAGAGGCGTCGCATTCGATGTGGAAGGGCTGCTGGAAATCTGGCAGTGACAGCACTGAGGCTGTGGTCATTGCTCTCTTCAAAGTTTGCCAAGCCTCCTCCGCCTTCTCATTCCAAAAGAACCCACCTTTCTTCAGCAGCTCGGTCAACGGTTGGGCGATCTTATCGTAGTCTTTCATGAATCTTCACGGTTTGGCCTCTCCCATTCTAGGACGGCTGCCACCTTCTAACCATCCATCTCCACCCCTCTGTGGGAAATAACATGTCCCAAATATTTTATTTGAGTCTGCCCAAACTTGCAATTTCTCTTGTTTGCCACCCAATGATCTCGTTCCAGTGTTGAAAGAACGCTTCCCACATGCTCGAGGTGCTCCCCCCAAGTTCGGCTGTAGACTAGGATGTCATCAAAGAAAACCAAAACGAACTTCCTTAGATAGGGCTGGAAGAGGTTGTTCATCGCGCTCTGAAATGTCGCCGGCGCGTTAGTGAGTGTGAAAGGCATTACAACAAACTCGTAATGGCCTTGGTGCGTTCGGAACGCCGTCTTCTCGATATCCTTTTCACCCATACAAATCTGGTGGTACCCCGCCTTCAGGTCCACCTTAGAGAAGTAGTAAGCCCCTCTCAACTCGTCCAACAATTCTTCAATGACCGGGATGGGGAATTTATCCGGCACCGTAGCTCGATTTAGTGCCCTGTAGTCTATGCAGAAGCACCAGCTCCCGTCCTTCTTCTTGACCAAAATGACGGGGCTCGAATAAGGGTTGTGGCTCGGTCGAATCACCCCCGTTCGGAGCATCTCGGCGACCTGTTGTTCTATCTCTCCCTTCATTACGTGTGGGTACCGGTAGGGCCTAACATTGATGGGATCCACCCCCTCCTTAAGAGGTATATGATGCACCTCTTCCCGGTCCGGCGGCAGCCCAGTGGGTTCAGCAAACACCTTGTCATATTGGCCCAATATTTGCTCCATCTCTGTCCTCTGTTTCTCAGTGAGGCCTTGGCGATACTGGGTACTCTCCTGGGCCTCCAACGAGCCCAATTCCCACACCAGTAGCCAAGCTTCCACTTTGTCTATTTTTAATAAAGCGTTGGGCCCCACCACCTTTCTTTCTAACGTGGGGTCGCCCTTCACTGTGACCTCTTTTTCTCCTTGTCGGTACACCATGGTCAATGTACCCCAATCTACTGTCACTTTCCCTAGTTTCTCCAGCCATTTTACACCGAGAATCACCTCCACTCCCCCTAGCTCGAACAAGTAAAACCGTTCGACCACCGTTGTATCCCCCCAGCTCCAATGCCACCTGCTCACAGCAACCACTGATCTTCTTCTTCTGTCTGTCCCCCAGGCTTACCAGATAAGGCTGAGTGTCCACTACCGCCATCTCCAATTCCTCCGCCAGCCTTCGACTGATGAATTTGTGGCTCGCGCCACTGTCAATAAGCATTAACACCTCGCGTCGGCCTATCCGACCCCGTAGCTTCATAGTTTTGGGAGAGGTTAGCCCGCCGGCAGAAAGCGCCGATAATTCCATCTTGGCGAGGTTCAGCTCGGTTTCCTCCTCGGCCCCATCTTCCTCCTCCTCTTCGGCCATGATCATCATTCTCAAACCACGCTCTGGGCATTGGTGGCCTGGGCTGAACGGTTCACCGCACCGGAAACATCTCCCTTCCTCCCTTCTCTTCGCAAACTCCGAATACGGCAAATTGCGCGTATTCCTCTCCTTTCCGTTGCCAGTGGTTCTGGCGGCGCCGCCTCCTTGGGTCGGCCCTCTCCTTACGGACCCAACACTTTCGGCAGTCCCTCCCCGATTCTGCATCTGCATGTCGCGTTGGGTTTCCACTCACGCCACTATCCTCGCCGTTCGTCCCCACGAACTCTGACTTCTGGACGCCGATCCTCCTCCCGTCGTCGCGACCGTGCATAATTTCTCCACATCCCGCGCAACTCTCATGGCCGTCATCAGGTCTTGGGGATCGTGTGGCCTGACATGGTCGCCCACCTCCTCCCGGAGTCCCGCCATGAAGTAACCCAAAATCTGCTCCTCCGGAATCTGGGTCGTCTATCCCACCAAGACTTCGAACTCCCTAACATAGTCCTCTACCGCCCCCGCCTGCTTGATGGTCAATAGCCTCTCATATACCGTTCCCCATGTTCCTCCTCTGAACCTAATTCCCAAAGCTCTCTTCAACCCCTCCCAAGAATGGTTCTTGGTTTTCTCCCTCCAAAAACGGAACCAACTTCCCGCATAACCCTCCATGCTAATGAAAGCTAGTTCCAACTTCTCCTCCTCAACCTTTTGCACCTCGAAAATTTTTTTTGCCCTACCAATCTAATTCCAGGGTTCGCCTCCTTCGAACATGGGTAACTCCACCCGTTTTCGCCAATTCGTCATGCCGTCCTGACGCTCTACTCCCTGTCTTCCTCTTTCCCCTTCCGGTCTGCCGTCGTTATCATTTACGGAGGATTCACTACCCTCACGGCGCGGCCCGTGTGGGTTTTGTTTGCGATCTCCCAACAATTTTAGAATCGCTTGGATGTCTCGACGCATTGCCTCATGGTTCTGTCGCAAGAAGACCGTATCCGCCTTCGTCTCGGCCAGCGCAATCTCTACCGCCTCCAGCTGACCTTCTACCACCAACACTCTGCCCTCCATCACTTGCGTACGTCACCCTTCCGATTGGGGATCCGGCAGGTTGGACCAAATTGATAGGTTCCTGAATTGGGAACCTAGTCAAAGACTCTCTCACTCACCAAGAAGACACAAGAAAGAGAGAAACTGAATATTATTTCCAGTAAGAGTATCTGTACAGAAAGAATTCAGAGGCTTAACCCTCTTCACAGGTAATAACCTGTCTACAATCAACTCACAAACCAGGTGCTGTTTTCAACTAACTATCCTCTATTTATAACTTTTCTCTCCCGCCCCCTCTTAACTGTTACAAACAGTTAAGTAATAACAGCTAGTTAGTTTTCTTTCTCCTTTCATATACTATCCATTTCTACTTATGCCTATCAGAAATTCTCAATTTTCTTCTAAAATTTCTTTCATTTTCTCGCATCATTATGTTCAATGGTAAAAACCGAAGCTGTATTGTCGTTATCTTATAAATTATTTTTTGTACATATATGCATGCGTGGGTTTATACATGTACACATGTATGCATAAACATGCATATATATATGTATGCATGGCCTTTATTGCATTGCATTGTCATCATTTCTTCTTTTATGTTTGTTGAACCTCTGTTTCTGAGTGAATACATTGATTGTCCTAAGAATCAATTTTTGCTTTTGTAATCACAGGCACTTAAGTTAAATAATACAGAATTATTGAGATGTCGCATCAGAGTTGGTGTAGCTCGAGAAAGGCGAAAATATACCCGCAACAGAAGGTAGTTTACATATAGAATGAAACTGCTTAAGAACTTGCCTATTGTTGCTGTCTCATTACAACTTTTCCTATCCAATAGCATTGATCTAAATTTCTTACAAAACATGTCAATTTGAATTGGAGAACATTTCTGTTTATTTCTCTGCATTTGCATATGTTGCCATGTCTGGTGTGAATATACTTGTTCAGGGTGTTTGGACGATCTTTAAAAAACAAGTCTGTGGTCATGACATTTTTTAAACTTTGTTTCATATGCTTCCTTTTCAACCTCATGAGAAGGAAATTTAAACAGATTTGTTCATCATAAGCTGATCCCTTTATTAAAAAAAAAAATAGAAATGTTTTTAATTAAAAATATATTACTTTTAAAGCACAAAGGAGCCTATAATCTCTTATGTTGTCTCATTTCAAGATCTTGTGATTTTGCTCTCTTCTCTTTGCAGTTTCCATGTTAATTATTTTAGCAACAAATATCAAGGTAGTGAAAGAATTCAGCCGGTGAGATGTTCAGAGATTTCAGAAGATTGTGAGCAAGAAACTGAGGAAAAAGACTCCAAAGCTGTTCAGACAATTGTAAGTGTTAAAATAGAGAACACAAAGACATTATCAAATACCTATACCTGAATACACAATTATTATGAGTTTTTATAGATGCACTACAATTATTAGGCTTAAACAGAGGATATTTTGTTTCTTATAAAATAAAGATCACATGGCTATAATAATAAAACAAAATGCATTATTCTGATTCTCATAATCTCCCCCTCAATTTGGAGCATATAGATCATATGTGCGCCAAGCTTGCTACAAGTGTATTCAATTCTTGGATTAGACCCTTTACAGATTTGATAAAGACATCTGTCACTTGGTCATTTGTGTTGACAAAACTTGTACCAACATCTCTTTTGATGAAACGACATTCAACCTCTATGTTTGGTTCTCTTATGAAACCTATCAAATATGTTATATAATGTATTTTCTGAAAATTTTCAGCCAAAAGATCAAGCTACTTGGAAGGAACAAAAAGCTACTTCGAAGACAATATATGCTAGAAATTTGTCTTATAGTGTGGAGAGGGATGATATGTATGTATTATTTTTTGTTCTGGTGGTTATTAGTTATTTTGTGTATGTTTTTCTAATTTCAAAATTGTTCAGGGAAATTCTTTTCAAAGAGTGTGGAGAAATTGTTGATATTCGTCTACAAAGAGATCATGAAGGGAGGTCAAGAGGCTTTGGGCATGTTCAGTTTGCAACTACAGAAGCTGCACAAAAGGTAGGCTTTGTGTGACCTTGTGTAGCCTTTGCAAATCATTTCAGAACTGCATCATGATTTCAAAGAGTTGTACCTTTGGAAGCAACAATTCCACACAAATTTCAATTGTGAAGTTTTAACAATTGGTTTGTTGAAATATTTTTCTCAATTGTTTTTTTATAGAATTTTTTTGAATTTAATTCCTGATGCTAGTTGCTATTCTTGTACTTATTTGTTGTTGAGGGAGGCGCTTTATTGTTGGTGAAATTATTAAATGTAAAAAGGAAACCATGTGTTTTTTAGACAACATGTGTCCTTTATTTATATTGGTAATAAGGAAATAATACAATAAATAGAGGAACTGATAACTGTTAGGCAGTGAGGCCGCTGGACCATTATTATTTTCCTAAAAATCTGTTGCTATGTTATATGAAGATTTATTTCCTTCAGCCAGCCTAATAATTGCATATATTTAGGATTCCTAATTTAGGTTGTAAACAATCAGGAATTAGGATCAACTATCACTAATAGTGGTAAATGCTATGTATTATTTAAGGAGATGAATAGTGAAAAGAAAAGGGCAACGAGAGAAAAACCAAATTTCTGACATGTTATCACGAGCCTCCTTTGACATAGACATGACCGTTTCCAATTTAGTGTTTGCACTTGCTTCTTGGTACCTCCCCTTTGTGTTTTTTTTTCTTTTTTGTGTTTGGCCCTTGCACCCTGCTTCTTGGACCGGTGTTGCTCCATATCATGCTTCTGTTTCCGTTCTTCGTTCTTCTTTTTGGGCACTTGCTCTTCTCTCTTTGTTTTCATGACTACGGAGAATCTTTGTATCCACTTTAACGGTAAGAACTATGTTGCTTGGGAGTTTCAATTCAAGATGTTTGTGCAAGGGAAAGACATGTGGGGTCATGTTGATGGGTCCTCCTCTAAACCCATGACCACGTCTGAGTTGGCTATTTGGGAATGCTCAGGTTATTTCTTGGCTTTTGGGTTCCATTGAGCCTCTAATGGTCAATAACCTGCATTCATTTTCTATTGCCAAAGACATGTGGAATTATCTCAAACGCGTTTTCAATCAGGATCATTCTGCCAAACGCTTTCAATTGGAATTGGACATAGCCAATTATAGTCAAGCTAATTTCTCCGTTCAAGAATATTATTTTGGTTTCCTAAACTTATGGGTTGAACACTCTGCCATACTACATGCTGTTGTTCCAGGAACCTCTTTGATTGTTGTTCAAGAGGTTTATGAGGTCATTAAACGGGACCAATTTCACATGAAGCTTCGCCCAAAATTTGAAGCTGTATGTGCTGCACTCTTAAATCGGAACCCACTCCACTCTTTGGAGGTATGTGTTGGCGAACATATTTGGGAAGAACGTCTTCTCACTCAGGCAGCTTTGTCCTATGACTCTTCTGTTTTGGAAGCTATTGTCGTTGCCAATACTGCCTAAGATAAAAGCAAAGGTCGTGATACACAACAGGTTAATGTTATTCGTGCAAACTGTTTGGTCATAGTGCTTGCTATTGCACTCAAAAGTTTTGAAACTATTGTAAGCAACATGGTCATATCATTACAGACTGTCCCACTCGACCACCATGGTGTTTGGTTCTCTCATGAAAGACAAGAGGATAGGCAATGTGTAATGCTGCCTGGTTGTTACATTGATGGGGACGTGACCATGAGCAAGGGAAAGGATCTACTTGAAGGACTTGCAGAACTTATGACAAGGGCCAAAGTAAGGAAAGCAAAGGAAGCTCTTCAACAATTGTTGTTCATATTAATGGAATACAAGCCCAAGGTTCAAGGAAAAATGACCAAGTTGGTTAATTGTGTATCATGGCCCATTTGGAGGAAGACTAAAACACCACTTGGCTGCTCTCTTTTTTTCTTAAGTAATTAGTTTGCTCAAATAATAGCCCAATCCTTTGTAAAATTGGCTGACCAAATTTTGTTTTGGGTTAATCAATTAATGGGCTTTATTTTGTTTTATTTCAAGTTGTAATAAAGGCTCACTTGGCCACTTAGTCATCAACCTTTGAAAAAACTAAATTTTTTTGTGACTTTTGGTTGCCACAAATTGTAGTTACAATCAATCATTAACTCTTGTGATTCTGATGGCTAAAGCTTTAATAAACTTAACCATTTTCGTCAAAGAAGACTAGTGAAGCTTTTCTGCATAATATTAGAGTTTTTTATTCTTTTATCTTAGTGAGAGTGGTTGTCCTAAGTTCTTGAGTGATTCAAGAACCCTTGACTGTATCAAAGGACTTTCCATCTTTTGTGTATTGCCTCCCTTGAAAAGAGTGATTCTTTCCTTCCATTTTTCATTGTCACTTTGTTTTTCTTTCTTTTGTCAAATTATAGAAACTCAATTTTGTCCAGTTTATCTCGTAGTCATAACTTATGTTTTACATGTCCAAATTAAGTGCTTCTTGAGCCAAAATTGAACTTCAAAACGTGAGCTTTCACCTCGTTTTGGAACCACCCCAATCAGAGTTTTGTAGCTCGAGATATCAATGTTTCTAAAATTTTGTTTGAGAGGAGTGAAAGACATCATGGAGGAAAGAATGAATGCAGTCGAAGGGAAACTGGAGAACATGGGGTTGAAACTGGGGAACATGGAGATGTCCATGCGGGGATTGGAAACGATACGCAAAGATTTACAAGAACTGACGAGGATGATGGGAGGGCGAGCCCAACAACTAGATGGAAATTCGGATGGAAGTTAGGGGTCTGTTAACGAGAATCGGAGAAGGAGAAGGGAGAACTCGGAGGAGGAATTGGATGAAGACCGAGGAGACACCCAACCTAATTAGGTAAAAGGGGTAGAACTACCCACTTTCGAAGGGTTTGATCAATTGGGGTGGATCTCTAAGGAAGAGAAGTTCTTCGAGTAGCAAGGTGTGGCAGAGGAGGAAAAGGTGCGCCTAGCCGACATCAGTATGGAGGGTAGCGCTGGCTACTGGTTCAGAGCCTGGAAGGAGAAAGCCAAGAATCGTTCTTGGGAAGGTCTGAAGGGAGCAGTGGTGGTGCGATTTGGAAAACGGAACGGGGGTACCATCTTTGAAGGGGTGGCGGCCAAAGCAGTGGGACAGCGGAAGAACACGTCCAAGCCCCGAATGGGAGAGGACTGCCGAATCCAAACGTGTGAAAACTGCCGGAACCGAACGGGCTAGTATTGCCGGATCCGAACGTGCGAGGACTGCCGGATTCAAACAAGAGAGAACTGCCAGATTCGAACGGAAGAAGACTGCAGGATCCGAACGGGGGAGAACGGCCAGATCCGAACCAGAAAGGACTGCTGGAACCGAACGGGAGAGGACGGATGGACTTGAACGGAAGAGGACGGTCGGAGCCAAACGAACGAGGAGGGCTGGATCATTGGGAGAGAAGCGTGATGGAAGGAAGAATGAAGGCTTTGAAGGGAAGGGTGGATGGGAGAATCAATGCCCCGGAGAGAAGGATGAATTCAGTGAAAAGGTGGGCGAACAGAAAAGGGGCCTTGCAGTTCTTGATACATCTGTAGAGGGGAGAGAGCTGGTTGAAGTATGGAAAGACATCGAAGACCATTTTCTCAAGGCCTACGATTCTGGAAAAAAGATGACCAAAATGAAGGAAGAATGGGAGTCATTGGAGGAGGAATTGCCCCCACCCAAGCCTCTAGACCTGAATTGGAGGGCTGTAGCCAGTGGGTTCCCTTCATATGATAACACGAGGATGAAAAGGAGCCATGAGATCAAGCTACCCGATTCCAACCTTGAGGACAAGGTTGTTCTGCAGCAGGGTGTAATGTAGGGTATAAGGTAATAGATGTTGTTAGGGGTTGGAAGGTATACAAGAGAAGAAGAAAGTATATGAGAGAAGAAGGGTACCGAACGGTGGAAGGTGGTGAGGAAGAAGAAGGGCATCAAATGGTGGAAGGCGGGGAGAGGTTAAGCCGAACGATGGAAGGAAGTGAGAAATCGAGCCGAACGGTAGGAGGCAGGGGGAGGTCAGGCCGAACAACTGAAGGCGGTGAGAGCTCGAGCCGAATGGTGGGAAGCAGCGAAGAACCTGAGCCGATCGGTTGAAGAGCTACTATCCTAAATGTTGTAGTAGCTAGGATAGGCGGGAAATATTTAGTAATAATTATAGTAAATAGAGCTATATCCTAGGGAAATATTCAGTATAAGTTAATTATGGTAAATAGAGCTATATCCTAGGGAAATATTCAGTATAAGTTAATTATAGTAAATAGAGCTATATCTTAGGGAAATATTTAGTATAAGTTAATTATAGTAAATAGAGCTATATTCCAGGGAAATATTTAATATAAATAAAGCTAGACGCTATTGTTTAGGGCATGCTTTTGATTATTGAGTTCTGTTGATAGGCGGCTACAGTCCTGTGAGGGAGGTTATGCTCCTCGACTAGGGAGGTTATGCTCCCAGTTATCTTTGTTTACTTTTGTTTATTCAGAGAGTTCCATCACCATCAATAAAAGAAATTCATTCGTTCATTGTTCTGTTGCGTGTGTGGGTGTGTGAGAGGTTGTCTGAGTAGGTTTCGTACTCAGGTACGTAACAGAAACATCTACTGCATCGTGATCCTGCCCAAACAGTGTCAAAATAACCAAAATTTGAGTATTTCCCTTATCTTCATAATTTTGTCCTTTTCTAGGGTTCTTCTTCATATACTTTTTTATTTGTATGACTGCATCCTAGTGTTCTTTACAGAGAGTTTATGAATTTAATTAATATGCTCAATGCAAAGGTGGTGTCAAAATGAGTCGCAATGAGGTGCCAACTAATATTTTATATCTCCAAAGACCAAAATAAGGTTCTCCTTTATCAAGTACAAGTTTGACACTTGGATCTATTGGTGTGTCTACAAGCTTAGCATTTATCATCCTTATTTCTTCTAGAATGTCAAGAGCATATTTTCTGAGATATCACCAAACCATCCTTGGATTGGATTGTGTCACTTCTATACCAAGAAAATACCTCAAGTGTCCAAGATGTTTTGTATGGAACTTCTGAGAAATTTTTTTTTAGTTATACAATACCCTTATCACTACCTGTGACAACAATATCATCCACATAAACAGTTAGACAAATACATTCTTGGGGATAATATTGATATAGTATATAATGATTAGCATCACTTCCTATCATTCCAAACTGCTGAATAATATATAGTTTGAAAATGCCCAAACCATACACTAGCTGATTTAGCTTACCAGCTAGCCATTTGTATCTCCCAGGATTTGATTCCGGGGTTTGGTACAAATGTGACTCTTCAATTGCGTTAACAAGTCTGTCACACATCCTATATAACACTAACTTTTAAACCATAACATATATCGGACTATTGGGAAATTAACTTACTGCTTAGTTCAGAACATGGCCTATTAGATTGACATTGTTTTTTCTGGGATTTTTTATATATTGCCTGTTTTGCTGTATTTCATCATCTGCTGTCTATGTTTGCTGAACCCCTGTTCTATGCAATGACATTGAGCTGAAAATAATTTTTCTTTTGTACTCATAGGCTCTTGGGTTGGATAATAAAAAATGGTTCGGACGATGCATCAGTGTTGGCATAGCTCAAGAAAGGAGTGAATATGCCTCCAATAGAAGGTAATGTACATTTATAATGAAATTGTGCTGTTGTCTTTTGTTGACAAAATTTCCCACTTAAATCCATTAGTGTAAATTTCTTCATAACTTTGGGTTACGGTGTTTAGTCATTTATTTATTATTTCTGTTAAGGTGATTGGATAAACCATGAATAAAAAGTGCTTTCATGACACAATTATCTTTATAAAATCGTTCCATCATAAGCTGCTTTTTTTAGCTTATATGAAATGGACTAAGGCCTTTTTTCTTCAGAAAGTTTATCTAATTATTAAAAGAAAATTATCAATATTTTTTAGTTATACAAGCACTATTTTAAAAGCACAGATAAGTGAGTCTTAAATCATTTGTATTTGTTCATTTCTGTATCTTGTACCGATATATTTCCTTTGCTATTTCCTTGTTAATAGTTTTAGCAACTGGAGCAATTCATTCAATAAGCGCGAAAGAATTGATCCCATCAAAAGGACATGGAGTTCAGAGTCCTGTGAGGAAGATATTGAGGGAAAAGCCGTAAAAGATCCTTGGAAAACTGTATGCATTTCAGGATGCAATTGCTTATGATTGTTGAATGTTCATTTGTTATGAGTTATTGGAGGTATAAAGTGGACTTGTTTGAAATGATTAAGCATGTGGAGATGCTTGGTGCTGTTTCCATCGGAAAGAATGCTGTTATTGAGCAATATGCTCACCCCGTATAGTTTAAATGATCAAAAAACTTATGCATTATGTTATTTCCTGGAATTTGCAGTCTAGATTGTTGGCTACTCTGAAAGAAGAAAATGCTTCATCAAAGACAATATATGTCAAAAACTTGTCATACAGAGCGGAAAAGGCTGATGTGTAAGTGTTATTTTTCATGTAATTGATTATTGATTATTTTCTGTATGTATGTTTACAATTTCAAAATTGTTCAGGGAAAATTTTTTCAAAGAATGTGGAGAAATCGTGGAAGTTAGGCTACACAGAGATAATGAGGGGAGGTTAAAAGGCTTTGGACATATTACGTTTGCAACAGCAGAAGCTGCACTAAAAGTAAGTTGTGACCTTGTGTGGTCCGTACTAGTTAGAACTGCCAACAATATTTCTTAGATATTTGTACCTTTGTTAGTGTTAGGTTTCTTTTGTTAAGAAACCAATCTTCCACTCCTCACAGTGTACCCACTCACACACAAAAGAAAGAATATGAATGAATATTGCATTTGTAATAAAAGAATGTAGTGTTTACAATCTTTCCCCAAGGGAGCACTCTCCCTCCACAGAACAACTTCCTGTCAAATACATTGAATATAAAAGCTACCTTCTACCAGACCCCCCTTGCCTCCTTATAAAGGCAATCCACTTCTAACTACCCAACAACAACTAATTCCTAAACTGTTCTTGTCATGCACCTATTACCTATTATAACCTATCATATTATATCCTATCATTACACCTTGCTGCAAAACAACCTTGTCCTCAAGGTTGGTACAGTAATGCTTGTTCCCATAGCTCATCTTCATCATAGGAAGGAAACCCACTGGCTACTGCCCTCCAATTGAGGTCTGGAAGCTTGGGTGGTGGTTTATATGAAAGAATTGTTGACTCCTTTAAGAGTTGCTTCTTTTCCAGAATTCCCATGGACCATATGATTGTTCTATACTGTCTTCTGACCTGGTGACCACTTACATGGGCCTGGATTTTAACTATTTTCTGATGAATGATCAAGAATTCTTTTCTCTTCTTCCAACCCCAAAACCTTTTTTGTATATTTTTAGCAGCAACACTGGCTAAGCCCTTTCTTTGCCCAGATTTGTTCGTCCTGGAAGCTAAAAAGGAAAGAACTTGTTGATCTGACCATCCAATTTCTTCATCATCATCATGTTGAGCTAACTGTTTCTTCTGAATGTTAGATTGCAACCCTGCAAAGAAATATCCCTACCGTTGGTCTTCTGGTGTTTTATATGTTGGTGACAACCATATCTTTTCCCCACTCAAAAACAATTGCATCTTCTACTTTATTTCCAGCCATAATAGTCACCCTATTCCCACCATATATGCTTTCTTTCCTCTATCTTCACCCTTCTTCACTGTTTTGACATACACATCACAACCTACCCCATTATCTCCCCTAGAAACAACAGCTTTTGTCACTTTCTGGGCAGAAACGCCAACAATGTCTCCATCACAGTTTTTGTCTTTTGCATTGATATCTCTTTCTTTTTCCTTCCCAGAAACAACAACTTTTGCCACTTCTTGAGCAGCAATATCTCCATTACAGTTTTGGAGAACCCTGTCCTCTGCGCTGTTGTCCATTTCTCTTGTCTTCTCACCATCGGTTGAGTTTTCTCCTCCATATGAGGTTTTCCTTGCTTTCTTGATGTCTAGCAGACTACCTTTCACAACATCCCTCCCCATTTTTTCCTCTTTCTTTCCTTTCTTGGCATATTCCTCACTTCTTACTAAGCCCCTTATCTGAATCTTGATATCCTGCATCATTTATTTTATTTCTTGGGTAGTTCTTCTCCATCTTGCACTACTATGTGGAAGTCTTTCTTCCTTCTTCTCTTCGTCATTAGCCAAGTACTCTCCTTCTTTAGAGAATTTCTTGGCTTTCTTGATGTTTTGTAGACTGTCTTTCACATCATCCTTATCCTTCTTTACTTCTTTCTTTCCTTTCTTGTTGTCTTGCAGAAATTCCTCTTTCTCTCTCTTTCTTGCTCCGTCAAGAGATTTCTCCCTTCTTTTTGAGTCCCTTTTTTNGACATACACATCACAACCTACCCCACTATCTCCCCTAGAAACAACAGCTTTTGTCACTTTCTGGGCAGAAACGCCAACAATGTCTCCATCACAGTTTTTGTCTTTTGCATTGATATCTCTTTCTTTTTCCTTCCCAGAAACAACAACTTTTGCCACTTCTTGAGCAGCAATATCTCCATTACAGTTTTGGAGAACCCTGTCCTCTGCGCTGTTGTCCATTTCTCTTGTCTTCTCACCATCGGTTGAGTTTTCTCCTCCATATGAGGTTTTCCTTGCTTTCTTGATGTCTAGCAGACTACCTTTCACAACATCCCTCCCCATTTTTTCCTCTTTCTTTCCTTTCTTGGCATATTCCTCACTTCTTACTAAGCCCCTTATCTGAATCTTGATATCCTGCATCATTTATTTTATTTCTTGGGTAGTTCTTCTCCATCTTGCACTACTATGTGGAAGTCTTTCTTCCTTCTTCTCTTTGTCATTAGCCAAGTACTCTCCTTCTTTAGAGAATTTCTTGGCTTTCTTGATGTTTTGTAGACTGTCTTTCACATCATCCTTATCCTTCTTTACTTCTTTCTTTCCTTTCTTGTTGTCTTGCAGAAATTCCTCTTTCTCTCTCTTTCTTGCTCCGTCAAGAGATTTCTCCCTTCTTTTTGAGTCCCTTTTTTTATTATGGTCTTCCAATATCATTTCTTTCAATTCTTGGCAATTTCTTCTAAATTTTGCCATCCTCATTTCCCTTTCACTGGTCCACTTCTCCCAGGTATTGTCTCTTCCTTCCATACTTCCACCTCTTCCCTTATCCTGCACTCCTCTCCTAAGGAGATCCGACAGGTCGAACCAATTTGTTAGGTTTTTTTTGTCAAGAAACCAATCTTTCACTCCTCACAGTACCCACTCACACACAAAAGAAAGAATATGAATGAATATTGCTTTTGTAATCAAAGAATGTAGAGTTTACAATCTTTCCTCAAGGGAGCACTCTCCCTCCACAGGACAACTTCCTGTCAAATACATTGAATATAAAAGCTACCTTCTACCAAACCTCCCTTGCCTCCTTATAAAGGCAACCCACTTCTAACTACCCAACAACAATTAATTCCTAAACTATTTTCTCTGTCTTGCACCTATTACCCATTATAACCTATCATATTATATCCTATCATTTAGGGTATGTTTGTCATAGAGAGGAAAGTGAAAGGAGAGAATAAAAGTAAATTTTAGGTTATTTGGTATGAAAGGAAATGGATATATGAGCGAAATACCCCTAATTAGTAGATGTGATAACTAATATTTTCATAAAATTTGATTGAAGAAAATACCTTTTTATATGACAGGGGTTTTATAGTGTTGAATAAAAGGAGTTATTTCTTTATTTAATTTTACTAAGGAGACTAAACAAAATTAAAATGAAATAAAAGAATGTTGAATAAATTCATATTATTCACCATTGTTTTATTCATATGCCTATACATATAAATTGAAAATCAAAAATAAATTATAATGAAAAAAAGTTTAATATTCTTAAAATATTTTTCTCTTGCCAGTGTCTGAGGATTATATTTATTAACTTGCCAAATCCTTTCCTTTTTTTCATTTATATTTTTATGTAAGAAATGTTGCAAGTATCTTAAAATAAAAACGTTCTCCCTCCCTTGTAGTATGCAACTCAAAGCCCATTCCATACAATAATCACAAACTTCAAACTCTTCTCCCTGATCAGTTCCCTTTCTTCCCAACATTGGAGGCATTATTCTTTTCCTGTTTTTCTTTCCTTCACCTTTATATACTTTTCAGGTGCTGTTGACTACGTGCATCATTTGAGCCTATGTCTTTGTGAAGCAATTAGTTTTTAACTGATGCAGGGCTGAAATTGATATTTCTTGGCTTGTCTATGTTGTTCATCATCATCTTGTGTACTCTTAAGTTTGTTGAAACCCTATTCTGTGTGAAGATAATGAGATGTGCATCATTTTGCCTTTGTATTGTTAGGCTCTTGAATTGGATAATACAGAGTTTTTCAGACGTTGCATTGTAGTTCAAATAGCTCGAGGAAAGGGTGAACGTACCTGGAATAGAAGGTAATCATCATGCATAATAAAACTGTTCAAGGGCATGCCTCCTACTACTGTTTTTTAACAATTTTTCCTGCCTAGTAGCATGAATGTAAAATAATTCTCATGTGAGTTTGCAGTATTTGGGGTGCTTGGATAAGCTTTGAAGAAAAAATCAGTCATGATATAATGTTCTTTCCTTGCCTTTTCTCACCGTTTTTTTGTTAATAATGGTATTAATTGTAGCAACTCATTCCAAAAGCATGAAAGATTTCAGCCCATGAAGGCTACAGAGCATTCCGAGGACTGTAAGGAAGAAATTGAGGAAAAAGCCCACGAAAGTCCTCATGAAAGTGTAAGCATTTCAAAATACATTTACTTAAGCTTGGCGAAAGTTTATCTATTATATGACTCGTTGGAGTGTGTAACTTGTGTCAAAGAAGTTAAGATGCAAATGAGGCAGCTTTTGAGTGAATGATTAAAATTGTGTTAGTTATCAAGTAAAGAAAGAAATAAGAAATTGAGGATACTATGGTGAACTGAATTTCAGTTTACTTCCTGCCATTTTGAAAGTCTCAACCTATAAAATACTCAAGGAAGGCCCTATCATGGTCAGAAACAATAACTTTTGGATAAACTTGACAACAGGAATTTCCTGCTTTGGAAACAATAATTTGGTCCTGTTTAAATGGACTTTGTTTCAACAAGTTTCTTCTGAAGTGATTGCTCTGCGATTTCTTAGGCAAAATGTGATTCTGAAATTGAGAATACAACTTACACTCGCTGGGAATGACAAGATCAGATGCTGATTGCTTGGCTTCAACCTTCTGTCTATCTCTTTTACCTCAAGTTATTGTCTGCATGCACCTTTGGAAGCATTTGTAGAAGAACCATATTTACTTTCAAGCTCACAGAAGCTAAATCTCATTTTTCCGAACTGAATTAAGGAACATGGAGAAAGGTGATTGTTCTGCCACTTGTTGAAGGTCTTGCTTATATTAGGTCATATTTCTATTCAAGAAAATGGGTGTTGTTGTGGATGGATTATCCATTGAGTTGAGTATGAACCTTTTGTCACACTTGTTCATAGTATTGGTCTTATTGTTAACAATACTTGGTTGTTGGTTGATTCACCCTCATTGCTATCAAATGGAAGCAATGGAAAAATTTGTGGTGGTTTTTTCACAAAATGCCATGCAATGGCACTAGCATAGTAGGTTGCAAATGGTGACCACTAGACACATGGCATTGGTGGTGAACATGTGGGCATGAAAAAATTTACAGTTTTTTTCTTTTTTTTTATAAAACAAAGAGACAAGAAATATGATAGGGACTTGGGTACATGTGTTGCTTTAGTCCCACATTTGGCAGTTTCAGTAAGTGAGTTTATGCTTCTCTTAAACTCACAAAACCAACTTATAAGATGAGATATGCACTTCATTTATATACTAAAATTTGGCTTGAAATCCGCAGTCGACGTGGAGTCTCCAACATACCTCTTGCATTGAAGAATAAACATTTCGAGCATGGGATTATATATTTGTGAGTAGTCTAGTAGGAATTTGCCTAGAATATGCTTTGAATAGCTTTGAATAGCTTTGATACCATCTCAGTGAGTTTATGCTTAACTCAACCTAACAAAACTGACTTGTAAGGTGAAGTTTGCATCCCACTTATTTATTATAATTTGGCCTGATCTCTAATTAATGTGAGATCTCTGGGAGGAAGTATGGGATAGTCAATGGAATATTTAAGTGTTTAGTTCTCCCTCCTTAACAACTAGGTTTCAAGGGTGAGTTTCCTAAGTGCTTGTTAGTTGATGTCAATGTCTCAGAAAGGGATGAAGGGTTTTAGCCAATGTAGAAGTTGAGTAATGTAGATTGAGCTACCTCAGCTCTTACAGCCAATGCTATTATAGGACTTAAGGTATTGTCCTTATCGGAGGCCGGGTAAGAATAGAAGACAAGCACAGAAGTTATATTTCTTGCATGCTTGTGTTGGTGTTGTAACATAGGATCATCTTGTGTTTGCACTTTTTGTTTGGTCCAATAACAGTATATTTTGTTGTGATAATTTCTGTTCCAATTTTCTATTTTATATTAGAAAAGAGAAAGAAATACTTGATCTCTTTTATATATTTTAAATGATACATAATATATAGACATTAGTGGCAAATTTGTTGAAGATTGCATGCCTTGTTTCTTTTATTTCAGACGTTATTGTTTTGTTATCTTTTTTAACTTTACATTTAATGTCAGATTGTATCTTCCCTTCAATCAAGGGATTCTACTATTTTTCCTCAAACATTCATCATACCTTGTTATCATTACAAAAATAAGAATCATATCTTTATAATTGCAGATATCAGGAACATATCTTCATACTAAAAAATATCAATATCATAGATGTATTATTCCAGGATCTTATCTTTATTGTTAGAGGATTTCAAATGTCCTCTATTTATTGAATTGATTTCTTTTGTCAATATAAATAAATAAATAAATAAATAAATAAGCTCAATGCTCTTTTTCTTGTATTTATCATGGTAGTTAGAGTCTCTCGAAAACTGTGTTGGCCTAGTGGACCTACTATCTTTGGAGGGATTTTTTTGAGTCCATTTCTTCCATGTTTGCATACTATTCTGGCAACATCTTGGGTGACTTTTCCAGTGACCCTGTTTTTCTCCATCAACCACATGGTAGGGATCACATTGTGCTGATCAACACCCATCCATAGAAGGGTCCAAAAAACCAAGCAATGCACTCACCGACACTTGAGGATCGACCACCTTTCACCCAGATTCTGAGAAAATGGATTCCAGCACCAACTCAGCGTCCCAATTAGATGAAAAAGGTCACAATTTCACTTTGGGCTTTCAGAGTCTGGATATGGTTCAGGGGTTTGTGCCACAGATTCGGTCTCACTGCCAGTCCTGAATCTGTCCCAACAAAAGTCGAAAACAATAGGTAAATATCGATACTAAAGTGTGCAGTGTCAAGAAGTCCACTACCCACAGCTCAGTAAAACATGTTTTCCATTCTTATGAAAAGTGTGCATGAGTTAGGAGTGAGGCTTATTCCCTCTATACTAATGATACCCAACATCTATACAATGTTTGCCAAGATCTTTTGACACTACTTGCTTCATGCCGATTTGATGTCTGCTTGGGCAGATTCTTGCTGCCTTACATGATTATGACTTTCTACCTCCATCTACGGATATGTCAAAATAGAACTTGAGAACTGCACTGCCTTACATGATTTTGATGAGTTCCTAGCACCATCAACAGATGTAAAAAAAGAATTTGAGAACTGCAGTATATTTTTTATGACTTCAGCCTTGTATGACTTGCTTCACGAGTATGTGGTTACATGTGATCTGATTCTAGAATCACCAGTAATCCTATCTATGACTTATGTTTCTTCTATACTCCTCCATATTACTCCAAAAGTAAATATGGAGTCGCTAAACTCTTCTGCTGGTACACTAATGTTATATCACTTCCACATCTTACAACACAACTTTAAGTTGCAGATGTCTTTACCAGGGTTGGACTGTGACCCTGCCATCAATTTCTTGTTAGCAAATTGATGGTCCATTACTATTTGGATTAATTTGAGGGGGAAATCAATCAGGATCCTGTTTTAATGTTTCCAATTAAATATTGATTGTAATCTGTCTATTTTAAATCAGAAATATATGTTCATTATATTACATAAGTATGGGATTTAGAATAATTGTGCCATTATTGCTATTTATGGATGTAAATATTTTTATAATATTTATAGATATGATGATCAATGGAAGGGGCAGATAAACAGAAATTCTGACATTTAGAACTTGTTGATCAGCCCGTCGGTCAAAAAACTGCATCTTCTGGCTCGTAACCTCCCTACTCTTATGTCCTTCAGTTGTGAGTTGTTCAGTTAAGAAAACAAGTTCATCATTCATATAATTCTGGTGCAACTAAAAATGTTGAGTGACCCTTACTTTTCTTTGACATTTGGGGTCCTAGTTGAGTTTGTTCTACATTGGGGTTAACTTCTTTGTCACATTTATTAATGCTTTGCCTTGGTATACTTAGGTTTTCTTAATGAAAACCCGTTCTGATATTTTCTGTCTTCCAAGACTTTTCATGTGAAATTCAAAATTACCTCTAATTAAATTTTTATGCACCATACTTGCAAATATTTGTCCTAATTTTAGTCTTTTCTAAGCTCTTATGGAATTCTACACCAAGGATCTTGAGTCCACACCACAATAAAATGAGGAGCCTAAGTATTCTATAAATGTTTCTTTCCTCCTGTAACACACCACACAATAACAATGTTTTTCTTTCTGTCTGAATTCTCCCTGTCTATTCAGCTATTGGAAACTATTTGATCATATGCTTTTTCCAAGTCACTGAAAACCATATGGTGGCTCGCAGGTTTTATAGTAAATTATACCAGCACCCCTTAAGGTGCAGAAACATAATTTCCAATATGAATATGACCGTTATCTTGTCTTGTAATGTCATATCTGAATCATTTATATACGTGTTATTTCCTGGAATTTTGTAGCCTAAAACGCTAGCTACTCTGAAAGAACAAAATGCTTCACCAAAGACGATATTTGTTGGAAACTTGTCACATGAAGTGGAACAGGCTGATGTGTATGTATATTTTTAATAAAGTTGCTCATCAATTATTTTCTGTACATTTATTCTAAATCAAGATTGTTCAGGGAAAATCTTTTCAAAGAATGTGGAGGAATTGCTTATCTTCATCCACATACAGATCATGAGGGGAGGCCTAAAGGCTTTGTACATGTTGAGTTTTCAACGGCTGAAGCAGCACAAAAGGTAAGCTTTTATGACCTTGTGTTGCAAATCATTTAGAACTGATAATAGTAAGTGAATGACAATTGTTATTCTGTAAGCAACAAAGCCATATACTTTGTTAGCAATTTGTTTATTGAATCTTTCTTATATAACATTTTCAATTAAATGTATTGTATATGACTGCTATAGTAAAGCGAAACCTTGTGCTTAGTTGTGTTGAGGCCTTATTGTTGTTGGTTTTGTTAAATTGTGCAATTTTGATGATCATGTTATCAGTTCATGGTTGCTTCAAGAAGTGTATAATCTTATCTTTGGAATACAATGTTGGATTGACATCATAAATCTACACACACACAAATATATATATATATATATATATATATGTATAACAAATTTTTTTCACATTCATTTCTTTTAATTTGAAAAAAAATAATCTTTTTTCTTCTAGGTTGAGTTTAGAGAAGACTTCTAAATGAGAGTTTGAATTCATGGAAGTAAATTTGAAGAGATATTTATGAGTGAAGTTGGAGCAGAAGTTATAAATAATTAAATATATAGAACAAATTGAGAATTTATTATCTTTTTTAATTAAAATGGCCAAAGTATTAGTATGACCCCTCCTATGTTATATGCTATGCGTAAATTTTGAAATCCATATCTAAACCACTCTATGCTTCTACAGCAACAACTAACAAAGTCCATGTAATTTTATGACAAGTCATGTATATGACCACAATAATTCGGGTGGGAAAATTTGATAGGGCTATAATTTTTTACTTACGTACTTTATTTATGAGGGTAAGAGAGGTTTAGAACTAGTAGAGAATTAAAGTACAAAAAGTACAATATATCTGTCAGCTAGGAGTCCAGGACACCTATGATTACTTTGAACAGAATGAATATAATTGGTATGCAACAAAACATAGTTTTTATAATAGAAAATAAGCAGTTTTTCTATTAAGTTCACCCAAACATTCTTAACTCATGCATTGTATATTGTTCTAGCCAGCTCATAGGTTGTAACTTCTATACTGCTTCTTAACCTGGTCAATGGTAATTTGTCGTAAACCTAGTTAGTCTCAACTCTCAACTAGGTGCTCTTGGCTACATTCATCGTTAGAACCTTTGTCTTTGCATATTAGTTTTGAATTTATATCTGTGCTTCATCATCATCTGTTTGTTTATGCTTATCGAAGACATTGAGCTGACAATCAATTTACTTTGGTATCATAGGCTCTTAAGTTGAATCATACAGAATTTTTTGGACGTACCATTACAGTTGAATTAGCTCGAGAAAAAAATGATAACTACAGTAGAAGGTAATCTACATATCCAAAGATGCATAATAAAACCATGCAAGAGCATGTGCATGCCTCTTGTGTAAATCTGTCATTGTTTGGACTTTCCTGCCTAATTGCTTTAATGTGTATTTCTTATGAAATGGCCATTTTGAACTGGAAAACATTTTACAGTCTTTCATTGTGCATTTGCATGGGTTACTGTCTCTTGTTTATACTCATTTTGTCCAGGGTGTTTGGATAAGCGTTGAGAAAAAAAACGCTTTCTTGATATAGCTTTTGTTCATCTTTTTTGAGATTTGTGTTCTATCTAATACAAGAATTAATTAAAAATGGACTTTTTAAAACAAATAGAGATGAGTCTTTAATCTCTCGTATTTATAGATATTTTTTATCTTGTATTATGCTCACTTCTTCCCTTTGTTGTTTCCATGTTAATAACTTTAGCAACAACTCATTCCAGAAGGGTGAAAGAATTCAATCTCTAACTGTATTTGTCAAGGGTTTTGATACTTCACTCGAGGAAAAAGAGGTAGTTCTTTTTTTCTTATCTTTTTTTTATTTTTTACACCACTCCCCGCACTGATTGCATGAATCTCTTTCTATTGACTCTTTGCTTGGTTTACCAGGAGTACTTAACTGTATTTAATGCCTACATTTTTCTTTCAGATAAAAGCTAGCCTGGAAGAGCATTTTGGTTCTTGTGGAGAGATTACCAGGATATTGATTCCGAAAATTTATGATTCTGGTGCATTTAAGGGGTATGTGTTCTTGTTTTGATGCAAGTTAGTTTATAATATACTGTTAAATTTTTGTTTTCTCAACATCATTCATCATCGGGACAAAATCACTTTGTTTACACAACTGCTGAAAGTCATCTAGAGATAATTCAGGAATCTCCACACATATTGTGTGAGACTTATTTTATTTTAGAAATAAATATGCTTTTGGTTCTTAAAATATTAGGAAAAATTAGAAATGGCCATGCTCAAAATTTTGATATTGTTTGGTCATTTTTACTTTCAAAAGTCATTTGTTTCAACGTATTTAACTTTTATCTCACATGACAAACAGCGTTTCACAGAGGAGGCGTATGGACTGCTGACAGATAGCGTGTTACTTGTCTGACTTGTGTTGGTTTTACTTCTTTTTTGGTAATAAAACATTCATTTTTCAGGATTAATTTATGAATTTATTTCAAAAAATCAAAACTATTGCGTTGGTTTATTTAAACAGTTAAAACTATTGCATTGGCTTATTTAAAAATATTAAAACTATTGCATTGCCTTAGTCCACACTTTTCAGGATTAATTAAAAATAAAAAACCATTGTTAGAATGTAACCATTGCTACAAAGAAAAATAAAAAAGGGTAGACGAAGTTATGCTGGAGGAGAGAGAGTTTGAAGTTCCAATGTAAAAGGAAAACCAAAAGGCTTGCAACAGGGCCATCTAATACAACAAACAAAAATTTATACGTGAATTGAACCTTTTCTAGAGTAAGGGTAAAAGGGAAATGCAAATTGATTTAGGCTAAGATATGGAATTTATATATAATAAGACATAAATGATAATTAAAACAAAAAAGAGTAAAGTTTATTTCTTTCATATTCAATGTAAAGGAAAATAGTAATTTGGAGAATCTCTTCTGAAGTTTCTTTGTGTGCAGCTTCTTCTCCTCCATTCCAGGGCCATCCCCAGCCGCAGTTTGTTGAATCATACCCTTTTTCTTCTTTACCTTCCACGAAACGGAAACAAACAATTCATCTTTCAGAGCATCCAAGGTCTACTTCAAAGTGCAATATCACTATTAACCTCAAGTTTTAACCCTCCTTTGCTTCCTTCTGTTCCCGCCACACCATACAAGTAACCTAGTTTGGAACAATGTCAAATCTTTGTAGCCAAAGAAAACCTTCTGAAAGTTGCTATCACCAACTCTTGGGCAGGCAAACACAACGGCAGTGATTGGGGAAGAGCGTCGCCGGAGATGCTGGTGGCAGCCGGAACCTTAGCCGGCGTCATTTGCCTCTCCCTCTTCATCCACGCAAGACGTGAAACAGGGCTCGCCGCCACCGTTTTTGTCTGACGTTACGTCGCCACTGAGGGCGCTTCCGGACACCACCGCTGGTGCTACCGACGCTTCCATCACTCGTTCCCCTCCCCTGCTGATGCTCGTTAACAAAAACCCTAGGCCCCAATTTCTGATTTCACAATCTCCTCACGTTTCAATTACAGTTCAATAGTTGCATTTCACAGATTGAATTTAATTAAAACGCTGAGTTTTACCAAATTTTTCATTTTAAATAAAAAATTAAAACCAACACGTGTCAGACACATGACACGCTACGTGTCAGCAGTCCAGATGCTTTCTTAAAACAGTGTTTGCAACGTGGGATAAAAGCTACTTAGAAATAAGAGACTAAAACCAATAATGTTTTTAAAAATACTTCCAAATTGAAATAAAAAAATATTTATTATCCCTTTATTTTATTTTTATGTTACTATATTTTTTAAACTATCTTGTTTAGACGAATAGAATTAGGTGTTTCTTGAATATATTTTTCTGTGATTGGAAAATTTGCAGGTTTGCTCTGGTAGAATTCAAGGATGTTGAGAGTGTGAAGACAGCTGTAGATCTTAATGAAAGTGAGATGGGAGGTTATACCTTGTTAGTTGAGAAAGCAAGGCCTCGACGTGGTGGAAATGGCTCTAAAAATGGTGGTGGATGGCATTCTGGTGGTGGCTGGCATTCTTTATTTTTCTCATGAACCCATATCTATTTTACTTTTCTACACTTAGCTTTTTGTCTATTTACTCAATTACTTATAATAAACTCTCACAAAACTATTAATAAAAAGTTATTCAATGTTCAAAGTCTTATTTTTCTGATGCTCAAAATATTATTCAAATCTATTTTATTATGAATAATAATTCTTGATGGTCTTATAAAAATATGTACGAATTAGTTATTCCTAATCACATTATTTATTTTATGTGATGAATATATTGTTTTCATGTTATCATAGGTTTAAGAGTAATATTTGAAAATAGAACCATAAAGTAGTAAAATAATAGGTTCATTGGATATCAAAATAACTAAAAAGATCTTCCTGATCAATATTTTAAATAGATGAAATAATTTGATTTAGTTAAACTTTGGATCGTTATAACCCAATTTAAAAGAAAGCGAAATTTAAAAAAATAATCATAATTTCAAAGATAGTTTCTTAAAATAATAAATGAAATTAATTTTAATATTTTCACATATAAATGTTAAGACATGTATATATTTTTTTGCATTATAATTATTAATTTTAAAATTTAGTCTATTCTTATATTACCTAAATTTATTTAAGACATACTAGATCGAGTTAAAATTTGTCTCATTCAACTTAATTCATTAATTGTTTTATATAAATTATTCATTTTACATAATAACTAATCCGTTAAATAGGTTCATAAATAAATTAAAATGGAGGGAAACATTGGTGAAATTGCCGAAAGCCAAAATTTCCCGCCATATATAGATAATTTTTTGCACTCTCTCTCTTTCTCTCAGACGTGTTGGCGCTTCTCACTCAATGGCGAAGACTCGAAGAGGTGAGAAAGCAGCGAAAGCAGAAGCTGATGACAGTGGCGATGGTCTCGAAATAATCTCCGTCGGTTCACTCTACAAAGGAGCATGGGACAAGAAGTACTGGACTACCTCTAGGGTTTGATTCCATTCCCTCCTTTTCTCTTTCCCGCCATTTCTCACAATCGATTCCAATTCTTCAATTTCTTTTACTTTTCATCAACTTTTTGGGTTTCTTTTTCTCTCATAATAACCATCTTTGACGAAATTTATAGATTACTCTAAAACTGCGTTGCGGTATAGCTTGCTTCAATTCAACAACTGTGCGGTGTGGAGTTGTTTTTTGTTCTGCTTTTGCAATGTAGTTGAAAATTGTATTTTGTTATGTTCTGAAATATCAAATATCATTGCATGGGAAATCGGGATTTGTGCGGGAGAAACAATTTGTTTTTGTTTATTTTTCTCTGGTGACTGATGTAATGCATTTTTACGTTGAGTACATTGCAGGGAAAAGATCGGTATCCATATCCTGTTGGTTATCAGGCTGTTCGAGCTTACAATGGGATCACTTTTAAGATGGAAATTTGTGAAGGTGTCAATGGCCCTAGATTTTTGGTTCGTATTTGGGCTTCTATGTGTTTTATTTATGTTCTAAAGTTTGATGTGATATGGTAAAGGTTCACATTTTGCTTTGGGTTTTATGGAAAATATTTAGTTGTGTACTGTAATGCAGATCTCTTCTGATGATGGGAGTTCATGTTCTGGGAAAACGCCTGACCAACCATGGGAGGAATTTCAGAAGAAAAGTTGCCCCCGCATCAAGATTTGGCATGGAAAGAGACTTTCACCTAGGATGGATGGCTTGGAGGTAGGAATCTGTGATGTTGACTAAATCATTTTGTAAAATTCCTGGTTTTTCTGGTTTTTCCAGAAATTTTCCTTCCTATCTTGTTGTATGTTACCATTTTTTTGTTTGCTATAATATGATATTTTATCCATACTATGCTTTCTGTTTCTTATATCTTACATCTTACCTTAGTCAATCACGGACAAAATAGACTCTTCATCAACAATGATATTATTGTTGACTTTTAGGAGAAAGTAAGAAACAACTAGGATTTAAATGTTAAAATATAAAACTACATGTTTTTGTGGACTATGATCAATTTTCACATAAAAAAAGGTTAGAGTGAGTAACCAGTAGCATGTTGTGTCCCCTGCATTCTCTGTCAATCATTTATGCTATATAACTGATCATAGGTACTATGCATGCAATGAAGACTAAACTGGGACAGTTCTTTTTTTGATGAATTTGGTTTTAAGGAAGCATATCTTTACATTTTGTCTCAACAAGTAAACTTCTGTTAACAGATAAAACCATTTTTGAATCACTACCTTCCTTTTTTCTCTTAAATAAACTTTCTTCTTTATAAAGATACCTAAGAACTTGTGTCCAGGATTTGTACCATTCTGGGTTGATCAATATCCTAATTCTCCTTTTTTTCTTTTAATTCCTTTCTGTTATTTCACAATCACGTATATTTTATTCTTACTATATTGTTTTTAATATAGTTGTCTGTGGTGCATAGTGTATTTTATTTTATTTTCATCATATGCAGTTTTTTGGGTTCAAAAATCAGTCTATCCAGAGGTTGCTCCGTGAACTGGTAACAAATGTAAATGAAATAGCAGAACGGAGCTTGGTATCCCCAAACACCTATGAGGGGGTTGCTAGAGCAGATCATGATGATTGCTGCCCAAATGTAGGCACATATCCTGATTTACTACTTTACCTCGGAAAACCACACGTTACAAGGAAGAGAAGCAGATGTGAACTCAAAAACAAAAAATTAAATGTACGAGCTAGACCTCAGTCTCCAGAATTCATATGTAGTGAACCCTCAAATGTAAAGAACGAGAAGAGTTGTGGTCAGGGGAGTTCTACAACCCATTATGGTTCAGAAGTACCTGAGGTCCACAATCATATAAAGAATCGTCTTGAAATTTCTAATAATAAAGAAGTGGGAGCTATGCCTTCTGAAGGGACAACTGGTTTTCTCTTTTCTGAAAGTTGCAGGGCTAAAGAACTAACTGAAAACTTGTCCACAGAAGAACCTGTAAGCATGCCTTTAAACTTGTGATGTTCTAGTGAACACTATTAATTGTGAATATGTTGCTTCATAAAACACAATCTGTTGAGTGGTTATCATTAAAAACATGTTCTTTCCTTTTCTTGATCTTCATAAACTCAAAATCATAAAGTACTTGTAAGTGATATGTTTTACTTCTTACAACCGATTTATTTTTTCTCTTGCTTGAAATATTTCAGATTCAGTTAAAAATTTCCCAGAGATAGGAAATAAATCAAATTTATGGTCCATTTTGTTATAGAAGAAAATATCTTAACTTCTTGCAGCTTCATAGGTCGCGTTATGTGGAGTTGAAGATGTCTAATTTGTTGGTGAAATCAGAAGACAATAAACTAATGCAGTCACATTCTAAGGAGTCTGTAGGTTGTATTGACATTGATCTGTGTGCTCCTGATACCCTAGATTTTGTGCAAGGTACTTGTATTTTGTTTGTACTATAAAACCTATTACTTTTAACTTTTAATGATTTTCAATACGTACAATCTTATATCCTCATGCTCATTTCAATTGATGGGTTGGAAGACTTTTTGGCTAAGATGTTGGCATACTCAGTTATTTTACTTTTTCAATAATGTTTGGGGTTTATATCTAATTTTGAACCTTTCCAATTTGGGTTATCAAAGTTGGGTGATACTGCCTAATAACTTTGCCGTTATGGAATAGTGCAGTGTATTCTTTGCAGAATGAAAGTGTTAGGAATAAAATAGGAGAGAAGTAAGGGCCGAACGGGTAAGAGGAGAGAAGTAAGGGTCGAATGATATATATTAAGACCGAACGGTGGGGAAGAGAGACCGAACGAAGAGGACAAGAAAGGATGAGGAAAGCTAGACCGAACGATATTAACTGTTAAAGGCCAAACGGTAGTTTCAGTTAGGAAGGAATGCGGGAATGAGATATTTTAATTTGGAACTCTAAATAATCTTCTTTGATTTCTGTTCAGGGGAGGATTTCATTTTTGAGTTTAGATTAGGCATATTAGCCAGTGGAGGGAGATAGGCTTCCGTGGGGGAGATTACACTTGTAATTTTCTACACTTTACAGAATCAATAATACATACATACTTTCATTTTTGTTGTTCGAGTGTTTGAGTGAGAAGAGAGCATAGATTTAGGTTACTTGCATAAAGTAACCTAACAATTGGTCCGACCTGCCAGATCCAAATCGGAGGGAGAGCAAGATGGAAGGGAAGTTACATGCATTGGAGAACCGAATCGAAGGGAGGATGAGTGTGTTGGAGCTTGTGGGAGAAGAATTGAAGGCAGACAATATGGGCATTCGCCAAGACTTGAAAGAGCTTACGCGAGTGGTAGATTGGTTGGCGCGAAATTTAGAATGGAATTCGGAAGGAAGTCAGGGGTCCATTAATGGCGGAGGAGAAGAGAGAGCTCAAAGAGGAGAAGAAAAAGCTCAGAGGAAGAATTAGAGGATGACCAGGGAGATGCACCACTTAATTGGGTGAAATGGGTAGAATTACCCACTTTTGATAGAAACCATGACTTTAGTTTGGAGCTTAGGCCAAGCAAAAGTGACTGAGGGAGACTGGGAAGCAGAGAGACTGGCACCAGTGCAAGAAGCGGGGTTGCAACAGATTCTAGCATATTTCGAGGGGGTGTTTCGAGAACCCCAGGGGCCGCCTGAGACGAAAATAGACCATCGAATCACATTAAAGGAAGATAGACTTCAAATTCAAATTAACTCAATGCAGTTTGTGCGTGCAATGGAGGTGCTGTACACGAAACTCCATGACAAGTACACCGAAGTCAAGACTAAGAAACTATCTGATTTGGAACACCTTAACAAAGAACAACAACTTAAATTCATCAATTGCTTGTCCGTTGCAGAAGAAGTAAAGAGCACTTGAAGACCGAGAAGGAAGATCTTCTTGGACAAGTCAATGATTTGAGAGTCGAGCTCGCTTCGCTAAAGGTTGCCAAAGACAACCAATTAGCGAACTATCATATGCTTTTGAGGAAGGAAAGGCACAAAAATGAAACTCTTTCTGAGAAGTGGAGAAATTACAGCAGCTACAGCAAAGGAAGTGGCTTATTCCAATTCTTTTTGAATATGCACTGGGAATGAAATTTTTCATTTTTGTCAAACCGGACGGATTTGCCTTTCTGCAATACATCTATCAAGTGGCTACTCCTTCAATTTATCATGGATTTGCAAAGCCCTTGAAAAGTGCTACAGCAAAGGAACCAGCAGCAGCAAGGGGAGGAGATACCCAAGTCTTAATACAATGGCAGCAAGGTGGATTGGAGGACGTCACCTGGAAGAGGAGCATTAAGTCAAATAACAGTTCCCTGACTTCAACCTTGAGGACAAGGTTGATTTTGAGGGGTGGAGTAATGTTAGGAATAAAATAGCCAAACAGTAAGAGGAGAGAAGTAAGGGCCAAACGGTTAAGAGGAGAGAAGTAAGGGCCGAACGGTATATATTAATACCGAACGATGGGGAAGAGAGACCGAACTGAGAGGACAAGAAAGGCTGAGGAAAGCTGGACCGAAAGATATTAGCCGTTAAAGGCCGAACGGTTGTTTCAGTTAGGAAGGAATGCGGGAATGAGATATTTTAATGCGACACTATAAATAATCTTCTTTGATTTCTGTTTATGGGAGGATTTCATTTTTGAGTATAGACTGGGCATATTAGCCAGTGGAGGGAGATAGGCTTCCTTTTGGGAGATTACACTTGTAATTTTCTACACTTTACAGAATCAATAATACATACATACATACTTTCATTTTTGTTGTTTTGAGTGTTTGAGTGAGAAGATAGCATAGATTTAGGTTACTGGCATAAAGTAACCTAATAGAAAGTGTGAAATGTTTTGTGGTATTGTCAAAGATATGACATTTGTTGATTCCACTAATTTTAATATAATATTTATAAATTCATGGGTGGTCTCAAAAAACACATCTTGTAAAAAACTCTTAGAATCTTTTTATCACTATGTTTAAGCTTTTTTCTATTTATTAATATTAGTATTTCTTTATTCTACAAAACTCTCCTTTAATATCTGTTTTCTCTCATTTATTTTTTCTTCTCTATATTCCTTTTGAACCAAATCACTTACTCTAGTACACTGCAGAAAATACTCTTGATTCTGGCCCAAGTGAACCAGATAAAAATGCTTACATTAAGACAGCTTGTGAGATCACATCTGGAGAATTGTTAAATGCAGAGCATGAAAAAGTGGTCAAATCTAATTCAAATCGCTCTGAAAAAGGTGACTTTGGTTCAGCTGGCCATGATGTAGCAAACTCGATGATGTCACTTCTGCTTCCTCAGGCAGTTCCTCTACTGAGGTCTGTTTCAACAGATAAGGAGCTTATCATTAGTCCTGCAGATATGCCACCTTCTCAGGTCAATTCGAAGGACGAACATGATAAAGTCGGACATAGTTTGGAAGTAGCCTCATCTGGTAAATATTACCTTATCTAGAATATTGTTTCTGAGCATTTGTTATTACTGCCTGTGTGTCAAAACATTTGATATAGTATGTTGTCATTTCAATCTACCTTTTCATTGTCATGTTTGTGCATTTATATATCCTTATGCATTATCANAAAAACAGTGTTTGCAACGTGGGATAAAAGCTACTTAGAAATAAGAGACTAAAACCAATAATGTTTTTAAAAATACTTCCAAATTGAAATAAAAAAATATTTATTATCCCTTTATTTTATTTTTATGTTACTATATTTTTTAAACTATCTTGTTTAGACGAATAGAATTAGGTGTTTCTTGAATATATTTTTCTGTGATTGGAAAATTTGCAGGTTTGCTCTGGTAGAATTCAAGGATGTTGAGAGTGTGAAGACAGCTGTAGATCTTAATGAAAGTGAGATGGGAGGTTATACCTTGTTAGTTGAGAAAGCAAGGCCTCGACGTGGTGGAAATGGCTCTAAAAATGGTGGTGGATGGCATTCTGGTGGTGGCTGGCATTCTTTATTTTTCTCATGAACCCATATCTATTTTACTTTTCTACACTTAGCTTTTTGTCTATTTACTCAATTACTTATAATAAACTCTCACAAAACTATTAATAAAAAGTTATTCAATGTTCAAAGTCTTATTTTTCTGATGCTCAAAATATTATTCAAATCTATTTTATTATGAATAATAATTCTTGATGGTCTTATAAAAATATGTACGAATTAGTTATTCCTAATCACATTATTTATTTTATGTGATGAATATATTGTTTTCATGTTATCATAGGTTTAAGAGTAATATTTGAAAATAGAACCATAAAGTAGTAAAATAATAGGTTCATTGGATATCAAAATAACTAAAAAGATCTTCCTGATCAATATTTTAAATAGATGAAATAATTTGATTTAGTTAAACTTTGGATCGTTATAACCCAATTTAAAAGAAAGCGAAATTTAAAAAAATAATCATAATTTCAAAGATAGTTTCTTAAAATAATAAATGAAATTAATTTTAATATTTTCACATATAAATGTTAAGACATGTATATATTTTTTTGCATTATAATTATTAATTTTAAAATTTAGTCTATTCTTATATTACCTAAATTTATTTAAGACATACTAGATCGAGTTAAAATTTGTCTCATTCAACTTAATTCATTAATTGTTTTATATAAATTATTCATTTTACATAATAACTAATCCGTTAAATAGGTTCATAAATAAATTAAAATGGAGGGAAACATTGGTGAAATTGCCGAAAGCCAAAATTTCCCGCCATATATAGATAATTTTTTGCACTCTCTCTCTTTCTCTCAGACGTGTTGGCGCTTCTCACTCAATGGCGAAGACTCGAAGAGGTGAGAAAGCAGCGAAAGCAGAAGCTGATGACAGTGGCGATGGTCTCGAAATAATCTCCGTCGGTTCACTCTACAAAGGAGCATGGGACAAGAAGTACTGGACTACCTCTAGGGTTTGATTCCATTCCCTCCTTTTCTCTTTCCCGCCATTTCTCACAATCGATTCCAATTCTTCAATTTCTTTTACTTTTCATCAACTTTTTGGGTTTCTTTTTCTCTCATAATAACCATCTTTGACGAAATTTATAGATTACTCTAAAACTGCGTTGCGGTATAGCTTGCTTCAATTCAACAACTGTGCGGTGTGGAGTTGTTTTTTGTTCTGCTTTTGCAATGTAGTTGAAAATTGTATTTTGTTATGTTCTGAAATATCAAATATCATTGCATGGGAAATCGGGATTTGTGCGGGAGAAACAATTTGTTTTTGTTTATTTTTCTCTGGTGACTGATGTAATGCATTTTTACGTTGAGTACATTGCAGGGAAAAGATCGGTATCCATATCCTGTTGGTTATCAGGCTGTTCGAGCTTACAATGGGATCACTTTTAAGATGGAAATTTGTGAAGGTGTCAATGGCCCTAGATTTTTGGTTCGTATTTGGGCTTCTATGTGTTTTATTTATGTTCTAAAGTTTGATGTGATATGGTAAAGGTTCACATTTTGCTTTGGGTTTTATGGAAAATATTTAGTTGTGTACTGTAATGCAGATCTCTTCTGATGATGGGAGTTCATGTTCTGGGAAAACGCCTGACCAACCATGGGAGGAATTTCAGAAGAAAAGTTGCCCCCGCATCAAGATTTGGCATGGAAAGAGACTTTCACCTAGGATGGATGGCTTGGAGGTAGGAATCTGTGATGTTGACTAAATCATTTTGTAAAATTCCTGGTTTTTCTGGTTTTTCCAGAAATTTTCCTTCCTATCTTGTTGTATGTTACCATTTTTTTGTTTGCTATAATATGATATTTTATCCATACTATGCTTTCTGTTTCTTATATCTTACATCTTACCTTAGTCAATCACGGACAAAATAGACTCTTCATTAACAATGATATTATTGTTGACTTTTAGGAGAAAGTAAGAAACAACTAGGATTTAAATGTTAAAATATAAAACTACATGTTTTTGTGGACTATGATCAATTTTCACATAAAAAAAGGTTAGAGTGAGTAACCAGTAGCATGTTGTGTCCCCTGCATTCTCTGTCAATCATTTATGCTATATAACTGATCATAGGTACTATGCATGCAATGAAGACTAAACTGGGACAGTTCTTTTTTTGATGAATTTGGTTTTAAGGAAGCATATCTTTACATTTTGTCTCAACAAGTAAACTTCTGTTAACAGATAAAACCATTTTTGAATCACTACCTTCCTTTTTTCTCTTAAATAAACTTTCTTCTTTATAAAGATACCTAAGAACTTGTGTCCAGGATTTGTACCATTCTGGGTTGATCAATATCCTAATTCTCCTTTTTTTCTTTTAATTCCTTTCTGTTATTTCACAATCACGTATATTTTATTCTTACTATATTGTTTTTAATATAGTTGTCTGTGGTGCATAGTGTATTTTATTTTATTTTCATCATATGCAGTTTTTTGGGTTCAAAAATCAGTCTATCCAGAGGTTGCTCCGTGAACTGGTAACAAATGTAAATGAAATAGCAGAACGGAGCTTGGTATCCCCAAACACCTATGAGGGGGTTGCTAGAGCAGATCATGATGATTGCTGCCCAAATGTAGGCACATATCCTGATTTACTACTTTACCTCGGAAAACCACACGTTACAAGGAAGAGAAGCAGATGTGAACTCAAAAACAAAAAATTAAATGTACGAGCTAGACCTCAGTCTCCAGAATTCATATGTAGTGAACCCTCAAATGTAAAGAACGAGAAGAGTTGTGGTCAGGGGAGTTCTACAACCCATTATGGTTCAGAAGTACCTGAGGTCCACAATCATATAAAGAATCGTCTTGAAATTTCTAATAATAAAGAAGTGGGAGCTATGCCTTCTGAAGGGACAACTGGTTTTCTCTTTTCTGAAAGTTGCAGGGCTAAAGAACTAACTGAAAACTTGTCCACAGAAGAACCTGTAAGCATGCCTTTAAACTTGTGATGTTCTAGTGAACACTATTAATTGTGAATATGTTGCTTCATAAAACACAATCTGTTGAGTGGTTATCATTAAAAACATGTTCTTTCCTTTTCTTGATCTTCATAAACTCAAAATCATAAAGTACTTGTAAGTGATATGTTTTACTTCTTACAACCGATTTATTTTTTCTCTTGCTTGAAATATTTCAGATTCAGTTAAAAATTTCCCAGAGATAGGAAATAAATCAAATTTATGGTCCATTTTGTTATAGAAGAAAATATCTTAACTTCTTGCAGCTTCATAGGTCGCGTTATGTGGAGTTGAAGATGTCTAATTTGTTGGTGAAATCAGAAGACAATAAACTAATGCAGTCACATTCTAAGGAGTCTGTAGGTTGTATTGACATTGATCTGTGTGCTCCTGATACCCTAGATTTTGTGCAAGGTACTTGTATTTTGTTTGTACTATAAAACCTATTACTTTTAACTTTTAATGATTTTCAATACGTACAATCTTATATCCTCATGCTCATTTCAATTGATGGGTTGGAAGACTTTTTGGCTAAGATGTTGGCATACTCAGTTATTTTACTTTTTCAATAATGTTTGGGGTTTATATCTAATTTTGAACCTTTCCAATTTGGGTTATCAAAGTTGGGTGATACTGCCTAATAACTTTGCCGTTATGGAATAGTGCAGTGTATTCTTTGCAGAATGAAAGTGTTAGGAATAAAATAGGAGAGAAGTAAGGGCCGAACGGGTAAGAGGAGAGAAGTAAGGGTCGAATGATATATATTAAGACCGAACGGTGGGGAAGAGAGACCGAACGTAGAGGACAAGAAAGGATGAGGAAAGCTAGACCGAACGATATTAACTGTTAAAGGCCAAACGGTAGTTTCAGTTAGGAAGGAATGCGGGAATGAGATATTTTAATTTTGAACTCTAAATAATCTTCTTTGATTTCTGTTCAGGGGAGGATTTCATTTTTGAGTTTAGATTAGGCATATTAGCCAGTGGAGGGAGATAGGCTTCCGTGGGGGAGATTACACTTGTAATTTTCTACACTTTACAGAATCAATAATACATACATACTTTCATTTTTGTTGTTCGAGTGTTTGAGTGAGAAGAGAGCATAGATTTAGGTTACTTGCATAAAGTAACCTAACAATTGGTCTGACCTGCCAGATCCAAATCGGAGGGAGAGCAAGATGGAAGGGAAGTTACATGCATTGGAGAACCGAATCGAAGGGAGGATGAGTGTGTTGGAGCTTGTGGGAGAAGAATTGAAGGCAGACAATATGGGCATTCGCCAAGACTTGAAAGAGCTTACGCGAGTGGTAGATTGGTTGGCGCGAAATTTAGAATGGAATTCGGAAGGAAGTCAGGGGTCCATTAATGGCGGAGGAGAAGAGAGAGCTCAAAGAGGAGAAGAAAAAGCTCAGAGGAAGAATTAGAGGATGACCAGGGAGATGCACCACTTAATTGGGTGAAATGGGTAGAATTACCCACTTTTGATAGAAACCATGACTTTAGTTTGGAGCTTAGGCCAAGCAAAAGTGACTGAGGGAGACTGGGAAGCAGAGAGACTGGCACCAGTGCAAGAAGCGGGGTTGCAACAGATTCTAGCATATTTCGAGGGGGTGTTTCGAGAACCCCAGGGGCCGCCTGAGACGAAAATAGACCATCGAATCACATTAAAGGAAGATAGACTTCAAATTCAAATTAACTCAATGCAGTTTGTGCGTGCAATGGAGGTGCTGTACACGAAACTCCATGACAAGTACACCGAAGTCAAGACTAAGAAACTATCTGATTTGGAACACCTTAACAAAGAACAACAACTTAAATTCATCAATTGCTTGTCCGTTGCAGAAGAAGTAAAGAGCACTTGAAGACCGAGAAGGAAGATCTTCTTGGACAAGTCAATGATTTGAGAGTCGAGCTCGCTTCGCTAAAGGTTGCCAAAGACAACCAATTAGCGAACTATCATATGCTTTTGAGGAAGGAAAGGCACAAAAATGAAACTCTTTCTGAGAAGTGGAGAAATTACAGCAGCTACAGCAAAGGAAGTGGCTTATTCCAATTCTTTTTGAATATGCACTGGGAATGAAATTTTTCATTTTTGTCAAACCGGACGGATTTGCCTTTCTGCAATACATCTATCAAGTGGCTACTCCTTCAATTTATCATGGATTTGCAAAGCCCTTGAAAAGTGCTACAGCAAAGGAACCAGCAGCAGCAAGGGGAGGAGATACCCAAGTCTTTATACAATGGCAGCAAGGTGGATTGGAGGACGTCACCTGGAAGAGGAGCATTAAGTCAAATAACAGTTCCCTGACTTCAACCTTGAGGACAAGGTTGATTTTGAGGGGTGGAGTAATGTTAGGAATAAAATAGCCAAACAGTAAGATGAGAGAAGTAAGGGCCAAACGGTTAAGAGGAGAGAAGTAAGGGCCGAACGGTATATATTAATACCGAACGATGGGGAAGAGAGACCGAACTGAGAGGACAAGAAAGGCTGAGGAAAGCTTGACCGAAAGATATTAGCCGTTAAAGGCCGAACGGTTGTTTCAGTTAGGAAGGAATGCGGGAATGAGATATTTTAATGCGACACTATAAATAATCTTCTTTGATTTCTGTTTATGGGAGGATTTCATTTTTGAGTATAGACTGGGCATATTAGCCAGTGGAGGGAGATAGGCTTCCTTTTGGGAGATTACACTTGTAATTTTCTACACTTTACAGAATCAATAATACATACATACATACTTTCATTTTTGTTGTTTTGAGTGTTTGAGTGAGAAGATAGCATAGATTTAGGTTACTGGCATAAAGTAACCTAATAGAAAGTGTGAAATGTTTTGTGGTATTGTCAAAGATATGACATTTGTTGATTCCACTAATTTTAATATAATATTTATAAATTCATGGGTGGTCTCAAAAAACACATCTTGTAAAAAACTCTTAGAATCTTTTTATCACTATGTTTAAGCTTTTTTCTATTTATTAATATTAGTATTTCTTTATTCTACAAAACTCTCCTTTAATATCTGTTTTCTCTCATTTATTTTTTCTTCTCTATATTCCTTTTGAACCAAATCACTTACTCTAGTACACTGCAGAAAATACTCTTGATTCTGGCCCAAGTGAACCAGATAAAAATGCTTACATTAAGACAGCTTGTGAGATCACATCTGGAGAATTGTTAAATGCAGAGCATGAAAAAGTGGTCAAATCTAATTCAAATCGCTCTGAAAAAGGTGACTTTGGTTCAGCTGGCCATGATGTAGCAAACTCGATGATGTCACTTCTGCTTCCTCAGGCAGTTCCTCTACTGAGGTCTGTTTCAACAGATAAGGAGCTTATCATTAGTCCTGCAGATATGCCACCTTCTCAGGTCAATTCGAAGGACGAACATGATAAAGTCGGACATAGTTTGGAAGTAGCCTCATCTGGTAAATATTACCTTATCTAGAATATTGTTTCTGAGCATTTGTTATTACTGCCTGTGTGTTAAAACATTTGATATAGTATGTTGTCATTTCAATCTACCTTTTCATTGTCATGTTTGTGCATTTATATATCCTTATGCATTATCAAAAATATGTTTATATGGCAGATGTAATAATGATAGAGGCTGCACAGGTGGAACATGGAGAGACGATACATGGGCATACAGACCCACATTCAGACACTCCTAATTCTGAACATATGAAGTGTATCGTTCCTGACAGTTTTGAATATAGTCAATGTGATAATTATAAAACTAATCAGGAAATGTTATCTACTGATCTTGCTGAAGCTGGTCGATCTAGTTTCAATATAGAAGTGTGTTCTCAGCAGTTTATTGGTCATGACATGCCAAACATAACATCCACAAGTCATGCTTCTGTGATGGACTTTGAAGACATTCCTCAGAATTTTGATGTATGCATTCCTGAATCTGTTCTAGATGACATGTCTCTTGAGGATCGGGTTAATTCTGGAAGAAGGGAGGATAAGTATATAGATGTGAAAGAAAATTCAGCACATGTTAGTCTCAGTTATGCACAAAAGGACTCTCCAACTGCTCAGGATTTTAGTGGAGGTAATGTGTTTATGATATTTGACATTGACAAAATTATTATAAATATAGCATATTGCGAAATAATTTTTCCGTCTATTTTGAACTGAGATTCATGTCAAGCTATGATGCTCTGTCCTCCGAAGTAGTTGTACCCATACTGGACGCAAAAATTGGTTTCTCTACTTAATGGTTGTGACCAAGCATAAATTGGTCCATGCAGAATAATTCGCTAGTAAATGAAACAAATTGCTGTTTCACTCACTCTTCAGAATTTGTGCCGTTAAATATGTTTTGCTCACTGCGTGAATACTAGGAAAATTGTATTTATATTTTATATGATATATGCTCCCACACACCTTAGATTTAGAAATTTTTTGTACCCTAATACCTGTATTGATAATGGTATTCATACCCCACGGTACACTGATCTTGAGCTATTGCAAACCCAACCCAATCACATGATCCAGCATCACTGGTGATGGTTGCGGCAAATTATAGCTTAATTGCGTTGGGACTGTTGCTTACTTGAATTGTTCAGTCTGATTCAGTGATTACCAATTCTTACAAATTGTATAACGCGATGCAGGTGTTAGCAATGCATTCTCTGGGGACAAATTTAAACTTTCTACTCCTCAAATGTCTACTACCAAAGACACTTTACATTCCTCGGAAGTTATTCTAGTAAACAATTCAAATGATAAACAACGTGAACCAGATGAGGCTGCAGGTTTGTGTGTTCAAACACCTCAAACTTGTAGGGATGTTCTGATTGGACATAGTAATCTAGTTGAACAAAGCCTAGCAACATCTCAGAATCCAACCCCGTTTGCTGAACAAAATAAGTGTCTTGGTACCAAAGAAGCTCAATTAATTTCAGAACCAATGCCACTGCAAAACGAGGAACTTAAGAGTAATATGGGAAGCAGTGTTAAGTTTGTGGGATGTTACTTGCACCCAATGCCTGTTTCATCATTATTTTTGAGCACAAGAGAGGATGAAGTCCATGTTTGTGTCTTATGTGGCCAACTGACAGATCAGTACAGGACCTTGTTTACTTACAAGGTAGCCATTGCTGGACCAACACTAGGATGCCCTTCTGTCATGGCTCACAGCTCAATACTGTTACCCGATCCAAAACATATGTTCATAAAGGATGTAAGTTATTTTTTGCTTGGTCCAATCTCAACCGTTTCTTCCTTTTTTTTATTCTAAATGTTTGTTTGGATAAATGATCACTGACAAAATCTGTTTAGAGTACAGCTGTCATAACAGAATGTAACCTAGTTATACACTACTACATAGTAAGTGACAAAATCTTTCATCTTATGCTAGACTCTGGTGGAAACATCTGGGGTGCAGTTGACTCCTGGTGGACAGTATATTGTCTTAATAGGCAGCATAAAGACCCCCAATTGCAGGTTAAATGTTTCTTCATGCTTCAATTGATATGTAATATCCGTTTAAGTAGAATAACTAAATAGCGTGTCATCCCAGGGAAGGAAAAATTGATTGTTCTTGCTCAAAATGTACATCAGTCTTGTATGAGAAGAATGCATTGAAGATTGTCCAAGTAGAACACGGTTATGTATCAGTTGTAACAACATTGAAAACGGTTGACAATGCGCATTGTATATTGGTGTGTGAACCTAACCGACTTGTTTCTGTTGGAGAGAGTGGGAAACTGCAGGTGTGGGTCATGAATTCAAATTGGAGGTGATTTTAGTGACTCTTCTCACTCTTTAATTTCCTAGGGGCCATTTATGTCCCTTTCGGAGTATCAATATTTAAAGTTTTAATTTATTTTAATCGACTTGCTGATTTATTGTACTTTTGCTTTTGTAGCTGTTAGCATGGATATGAATTCCCTTTGGTTTTCCTCTAAGATTGCATGAGAATATTTAGCAAACTGTGTTTTTGAGATGTTATGACAGATTGGTCTTGGTTTAAAAGCTTCCTAGTTTTTATTAAAGTTAATTTGCTCAGAATCTAAGATCTGCCATCAGTTTTGCCGACCTCTTTTCTAGAAGAGCAAATGCCACAATTTTATAGAATTTCTTCCTGTTTGTCAATGACGTCTGTGTTGCCAATACCCGTTAAATTGTTGGTTTTATAGCTAGCTTAATTAAATGTATAATATTTGGTTATCTTGCAATTGTGCTTGTGCATACAATTTAGCTTGTTCACTCTTTCATTCATATTTGGCAGTGAAAAAACAGAGCACTTCATTGTTCCAGCTGATGGCACGGCATCTCCTGGCATTGTGGAGTTGAAGAAGGTTCCTAAGTCTACTCATTTAGTTGTTGGTTTTACTAGCTATGGGGAATTTAGTTTATGGTATGCTATCTCATTCACCTTGAAAGGGTTTCCCATTGTGTTTGCATCACTCAACGTGCTTTAAACCTCAAATGTTTTTCATATGAGTTCTGAAACACCTAATACACCAGTCATTCTCAAGGACTGTCGTGTTTTTTGGGGACCATGTTGAGATTTTAAACATTCTCTAGACCGAACAGGTCTATGCCAAATTTTTCGGGAATAAATTTGGGGGTATTCATGTGGGACTTTTGCATTTTTACGAGTGTGTTATCAATTTATCATATTTGTTGTACGAATTCACTTGCACTTTTTGCCCATTATGTAGTCAGTATCGTTTAGGGCATTAATTAATGTTTTTATTGGATCTTATTTTATTTTTTGAGTCTCAAGTTATTCAGAACATGAATTTTGTCTGTTTACTTCTTCCATAATGACCCCCACTTCTGTCTGCAAATCTTCAACATAAGGAGGTTTCAAATCTTAGTTTATCTGCTTCAAAATTTAGAAAATGTTACTCCTGACTATTCTGCCATTTTTTCATCCCATTATTTCGTATTATATTCCTATAACTATTGAAATGACCTATGGCCTAACCCAGCAGTTTAAAGAAATGGGAAAGAGAAGGGAGAAATAATCACATTGGAAAAGTTCAAGTATCATTTAATCTGGGTTACAGTTATAGTAATATGATAATATCTCATTCACTATTTTCAACATTTTTCCCAGGGATATTGCAAATTGTAATTGTGTAGCAAGATTCTCCGCTATAAAAAGTCCAATAAATGAGTTCTTTCCAATAAGCTTGTTCCAGTGGAAAACAAAAGACTCAGGTACTCACAGCTATGCCAGCATGGAGGAGCAGGCTGATAAACTTTTAAAAGCAACCAATTCGTGGTACACACAGCAAGGAGAGACCTCTTGGTTTTCACCATTAGAGGAAGATGTTGCTATGTGGCTTTTTGTCTCGACTTACTCTGATCAGGATTGTTGCCAAAATCCTATTTCAACTTCAAGCAGTTTTGATATACATACAGCTAGAAGTTGGAGGCTTGCACTTGTAATGAAAAATAGCATAAATTTTGGAAGTCCCTTGGATATAAGGTGCTATAAGTCTTTTTCCGAGTTTGATGTAGTTTGTCTTGTACTTTATTCCGTTGAAATTTTTTACTATTTTTCACTTCCATTCAAATCTCAGATTAATTATGAAGATTGTAAGGAGCCATTAGTTATAAATATTTTTTACTGATATGGATAGGTATATGAAATTGCATCTAAAGAAGGGCTGATGATATCTCAGTATAATACTCTATTTAATAGCTGCCAAGTTATTGGTTATTCAATAATTCAAATTTATCATTTAATTTACATCTTTTAATGCATTAACCCAATGCAGGATTTGCGGTATTGGTGTTTCCTGTGGTTATGGAATCGTCGGTACAAACGAAGGCGTGGTGTATATGTGGGAGTTGTCTAAAGGATCCAAGCTTGATACTCTGCATCATTTCCAAGGTATGTTCAACTGTTCCTTTTTCACTCCTTTGCTTTGACCACTTAGCACTTGCACCTGACAACTACTACAGAAGCACCACTGATGTGTTAAGGTTGATTTTGTTATTTAATCCTTTTTTGTTCAGTTATTAAGAACACTATTTTTTCTATGAATCTCGTTACTAAACATGAATTTTTTAGATAGAAAAACACAAATTTTTGTAATTTTTTTTTTCTGAAGTCATTAATTTTTTTTCTTTTTAGAGGCGATATGCCCGGTGGATTTGTATGGCGGTTTCATTGATCGATCTGTTTCTAAATTAATAATTATACCTTTCCAAACTTGAACGTAATATTATTTTATTAAAATATACATATATACATTTATAATTTATAACAATATACAATGGTAATTCTTCCATTTCTTGTGTACATTTCATTTCTATATTTCATCCTCAATTATATTTTAAAATTACAATTTATATTCAATTATATTTTAAATTTATAACATTTTGATTAGTATATACAAACTATTCATCTACTAAGTACACGTTTCAATCTCTTCACAATACAGTTATTATATTTCAAATTTGTAATCTATATTTGCTCTTCCAATATTGGATATATGAAATAATATAATTATTGTAATATATATATATATATTAAACATAGTCAAATAACAATTTGGGCACATTGTTGCTTAATACAAGAAATAAATCTAATTTTTCTAGGCATTTCACCGTTTTGTTGATCATCATTGAAAATTACATTCATTAGCTCAAGTTCATCTAAAGCCAAATTAGCAACTTCAAAATGCCCACTATCATCAAGTGAACCAAAATCATTTCCAACTACATCCCAAATTGTGTTCTATCAAGTTATTTCTTTCTTTTTTCTCCAAATTTTAAAAATGTCCTTGATGTCAGATGGCCATGTTGCATGTGTTGCTACCGATAATTCGAGAGGTGCCTTAGGAGTGGCTGGTGGAGGGCAGTTGTTGCTTTATCTACACCTTGCTGAGCTAGACTCAGACTAACTGGTGAACACGAAAGTGTTCTTTACCCACCGATCTTACGAACTTGTGTTGATATTTGGAATCATTTGTTTGTATCTGAATTGCAGCAATGTTCTTCATTTTGAGAATTGCTAATAGTGTTCCAGCTCTTCATCAAATTAGTGTTTCTAATCTGTATGAGCGACTGTATATTCAATTTATTGTATGTATATATCACCAGGGGATGTGAATTAGTAGTACATGCAATCTATTTTTATTTTCGTTGAAGTTGCTGCTTTGGTAAAATTTAAAAGTCAATTTGATTGTTTAATATCGCATGATTTTTAAGTATGGGATAGATGCTGCATTTATAATAAGTTGATTTTTAAAACTTTGAAATTTTAATTATTCTTTTTCTAATAGAAACTTTTGATACAGCTTTACTTTATGGTTGACACTTTGTAACCTGAAATGAGACGGTGATTTTAGGGACGATTGCAGTTCGTTTAGAATAATGTTAAACGATGTTCTTAATATTTTATATTTTTGAAAAACATTAATAAATATTGCCTACTTTTTTATTTTATTTAAATATATTATATTCCTTAAAACTTCAATAAAAACTATGAAAATTAGAAATTAAAATTTTTAAAAATGAAAATTAAAGAATATTTAATAAGTTAGATTTTTTACAAATAAAATAAGAGAACATTACTTTAATAAATGAGATAGATAAATGTCAATAATTAATTAAAATAGAAATTATATGCAAATTACTATATTGATCGATAATATACTTACATATGTTTAAATTTTATTATACTAGGTCTCACCTAAAGGCTACGTAGAAATCACGTGAAAATGATAAACATCATCTGACTGTCAACGTAAGCTTTCACTAAGTAACAAATGTCAAAAGCATACTACCATAACATTTAAATATTGAAGTCAGCTTTTCTTGAAGTTTTTATTAACGAATGAACTTTAATAGATGAAAAAATATTAAACTTCCATGAAATAATATTTAGAAACCTATCAATCATTAGTGATCAAATTAGATTTTACACTACAAACCGAGAGGTAGATAAAAGAAAAAGACAAAAACACATGTCCATATAAAATTTGAAACCGTAAGTGTTTTTTCTTTCGGTATTTATTTACATGTATCAATTCAAAAAATGAAAAAACCAACATAAGAACAAATGACAGTGACAATGACAGTATTACAGATGCTCCCAACCCCTTACTAAAAAGAATTAAACAAAATACAAAATGTATAAAAGCAGCAAAACAATGGATCTTGCGATAACTTTGATTTTGGCTGCTCCGTAAGAGGGAAAGCCACCAGATCTGTAGCATCCAGCAGACTGCAGCATCCAGATCTGAGAAGTCACTAGAAATTATTACCAGTGCTCCAATTCTTCATTTGTTTGTCACATCAACCACGAACTACAACAGATTGACTGCTGTATATGCTTCTTGTTTTGACAGTCCACGTCAACATATCCTAAATTTACAAAACCATATGTGAAGACCCCCTTTCTTTCATAATTCCTTTTGTATACATAAGCCCATTTGGAAGACAACTAGAGTACTAACATGGGACATCTCGTGAAGGAAATATGCCTCTGTTTGAAACAAATGTATAAATAAAAGAAGTACAAGATTCTTCAAGTTTGGCAACCCAATTCTTGCTCCACGCAATTCTTCATTCTCCATGAAGGTTTTCATTGAGGCTTTCACAATCCCATGCATGTAGAGATATATACCAATTTCATCAATTAGACTTGTCTCCCAGGACCACAGGAAAAGGTAGTACTAGGCAAGTAACCAGAGTTTCTGNACTTTTGAAAAACATTAATAAATATTGCCTACTTTTTTATTTTATTTAAATATATTATATTCCTTAAAACTTCAATAAAAACTATGAAAATTAGAAATTAAAATTTTTAAAAATGAAAATTAAAGAATATTTAATAAGTTAGATTTTTTACAAATAAAATAAGAGAACATTACTTTAATAAATGAGATAGATAAATGTCAATAATTAATTAAAATAGAAATTATATGCAAATTACTATATTGATCGATAATATACTTACATATGTTTAAATTTTATTATACTAGGTCTCACCTAAAGGCTACATAGAAATCACGTGAAAATGATAAACATCATCTGACTGTCAACGTAAGCTTTCACTAAGTAACAAATGTCAAAAGCATACTACCATAACATTTAAATATTGAAGTCAGCTTTTCTTGAAGTTTTTATTAACGAATGAACTTTAATAGATGAAAAAATATTAAACTTCCATGAAATAATATTTAGAAACCTATCAATCATTAGTGATCAAATTAGATTTTACACTACAAACCGAGAGGTAGATAAAAGAAAAAGACAAAAACACATGTCCATATAAAATTTGAAACCGTAAGTGTTTTTTCTTTCGGTATTTATTTACATGTATCAATTCAAAAAATGAAAAAACCAACATAAGAACAAATGACAGTGACAATGACAGTATTACAGATGCTCCCAACCCCTTACTAAAAAGAATGAAACAAAATACAAAATGTATAAAAGCAGCAAAACAATGGATCTTGCGATAACTTTGATTTTGGCTGCTCCGTAAGAGGGAAAGCCACCAGATCTGTAGCATCCAGCAGACTGCAGCATCCAGATCTGAGAAGTCACTAGAAATTATTACCAGTGCTCCAATTCTTCATTTGTTTGTCACATCAACCACGAACTACAACAGATTGACTGCTGTATATGCTTCTTGTTTTGACAGTCCACGTCAACATATCCTAAATTTACAAAACCATATGTGAAGACCCCCTTTCTTTCATAATTCCTTTTGTATACATAAGCCCATTTGGAAGACAACTAGAGTACTAACATGGGACATCTCGTGAAGGAAATATGCCTCTGTTTGAAACAAATGTATAAATAAAAGAAGTACAAGATTCTTCAAGTTTGGCAACCCAATTCTTGCTCCACGCAATTCTTCATTCTCCATGAAGGTTTTCATTGAGGCTTTCACAATCCCATGCATGTAGAGATATATACCAATTTCATCAATTAGACTTGTCTCCCAGGACCACAGGAAAAGGTAGTACTAGGCAAGTAACCAGAGTTTCTGAGAGTCTAGTTAAAAAAATATGTAGACTCTAAAACCTCGCGAAGATCGAAGTCTCCTCGTTCTGGTAAGGGAGGAAAGTTCAATGTGGGAAAATTCTTTTGGAAGCTCTCCGACAACTGCATTTACAAGTAAAGAATGAATTATTAAACAACCAAGTCATTTGGTATACAATGACGAGTTTACTTGTAAACAAAATATGTCAAATAATAAATCCGAAAGCAACATGCATCCAAAGATACTAAAATTGAGTCTGGTACGTCGATTGATTTGGTCAAGTAGAAAGGTGAGTTAGATGATGATTCACGATAAACCATGAATAGTTACAAAATGCATCAAAAGGCTTCATAAGCAAATGGTCAGCTTCACATTAATACAACCCACTTCGTAATTTCTTTCGGAAAGGAAGCCAAAGAACAAAGTTTGAGTGGATTGAATGACATCATAAAAGCATTTACCAAAAGTTATCAGTATGAAAGGAAAGGATTAAGTCAGAATGGATTGATTTGAAGAAAATGCTTCACGCTTGGCAATCAAATATCCAAGTAAAGAGCCCAAATAGTTAAAGATACAAAATACTTTACATTTTCCAGTACTGGAGCGTCGTAGAGTTCAACAAACTTTTCCCTGAGTATCTTGTTCATTTCATCAACATCACATGCATGTGTCCAGTATGAATCATGAACCCCTGCCATTAAGCATTGGTTTACAAATTTAAATTCCTAATGGATACTCCAATTGCATTCACCTAAGACTGTTCATGTTTTTTATATAAACCACTAAGCACCTGCAAAGTTCAAGCCCGCTTTTTTACAAGCAACTGCAGTCATCATCATGTGAGAACCATCAAGAGAATGAACAAAATTTGGGGGAAAAGCTGTTCTCTGCCTTTTAGCCATGACCTGTAACATTAGTGTGGATATTCTATTAGATTAACAATAGCATGCTTAGGGAAAGACACCTATATTGTCCCAAGGGCATTGCAGGTTTTGACAAGTAATACCAACAAAATAACAAAGTGATACATACAGCAATAGGAACACAAATTAGATAGTTCAACTAAGCCCTTCAAAACATAAACTACAAGTTTATATGGTGATGTGTCAAGTATCTTACAAATATAGGATCTTTTTCAGACATGAAAGTGTGACATTAAAATAGAACAGTTACTTCCAAACACAGGTCTACATATATGGTTGGTCAATTTCAATCAAATCAATGCTTACCTTGTCAGTCTCTCGTTGTAATGTCAAAATCTGAAGGGAAGTTTTGATCTGTACATCATATCCAATTACCATATTAATGACAAGAAATGTGTCAACTACTTCTAAGTTATTTGACTAGTAGAGAGGAAGAAAAAAGAGACAATGGAAAATAAGAAAAATAGGCCATCAGTTGAGAATTTACAAGATGCCTTCCTAATTGTCGATAGGGTTGTACTACAGGTAGACCGAGGGGAGTGATCCACCGGACTGCTTGGTTAGTGGAAGCAATCACCTATTCCATGTTCAAAATTTAAATCATTAAGACGATTGAGATGTATACAGTAAAAAACATGGGAACATAGTATTTTAATAGCCACATATAATTCTTGAATAACATGTTCAATGCCTATAGCACTTTTGGAGAGAAAAAACGGCATGCTGAAAAATATGTGCCTATATTACGAAATAAAACTCAATTATAATTCCTCAGAATAATAAATACAAGGATTTGCAGTTACCCTAACAACAAATACATTCTAAAGGTCCCACGTAATATGGAGCATATAAAATATATGCACCACACTTGTCACATATAACTTACCCTTAGACATCTCAATGACTTAAAGAATACATATTCTAGCTGATTATTTGAATTTACAGTTGGAAATGTCCCCTAATTTCAAAAAACCGTGACGCATAGGGGCATCAACAGGCTTATCGTATAACAGAACTGATTCCTTAAGGATTCCCATTGTATACTTTCCCTAGAAAATTGTGATACCATCCTTGGATTATGCCATCTCCATTCCAAAAAATATTGCAATTATTAAAGATCTCTTGAAAAAATTATATAAAAGAAGTTTCACCTAAATGATGTAGGTGATTGTTGGAAACTACGCATCTATTGGGATGTGCTGCATTAAAAGTTTAGGTTCATGTAACT